AGTTGTCTGTGACAACTGGCCACTCCCAATCCCTCCTACTTAAGTTCCAGCTATGGAGGGGGCTGGCTAATGTCTCCTTCTTTTCTCTGAGAGCCAGCTTCTAGACTTCCATTGCTCTCCTCTCCTCTCCTCTCTTCTCCTTTTTACCCATATGTGCATCTGGGAGGAGCCCCATCTGTTTCTCCATATCACTCAGCTCAGGCCCCCAAAACAGCTGCCTCTCCGCCTAAGCATGGGCAGATGGTCCCGGCTCTGCATCTGGCTCTTAGTCATCTTGCTCATTGAAGCCTTCCGAAGGCTCCGATGTTAATCCAGGCTCCCTCTCCCCCTCCCCCACATCTGACTCGGCTGACAGCTGATGGACTACAACACTAATACAGGAACAATATATATGTCTTTCCAGATGAACACAATACCTTGACTCAATGAAATCATTGCCAAGTTCATTAGTATTAGCACTGGAAATTTTATCATTTAGATATTGCTTACTTAGTATCCTATGACCATCTCTGAATGTTGTATCTTATGATTTATGATTAATGTATTTTATGATTATAATCATGGATTATCATTTGTTGCTTGTATGTACACTGAGAGCTTATGCACTGGAGACAAAGTCCTTATGTATCCAATCACATTTGGCCAATAAAGAACTCTAATTCTAATTCTAATGTTAGAAGAAAGTACATCTCTATCCAGCTATACTATAAACTATGAAAAATTAAAAAAAATCTTTACTGTAGTAGAATAAAATGTAGATTAATGGCTATTATAACAATATCTATAAAATCAAAAACAAAGCCTAATCTCAACATGACAATTTGAATACAGAAGGCAACTAGAAGGAATATCATATTGTTACTGGTTTCAAAGCATAACTCCAAAGGACAAGAATATCTGGATATTGATCATAAAGTTTATGTATATAAATTGTTAGGCCACTGGACTGTCTACCTCAACAGCAATATAAATATTTTAGAGATATCTAAATCCAAGTTGGAATAACCCAAAAATACAAGAACATAAGCCAGATTGTAAAATACCAAGGCTTATGATTTTATAGAGAGCAAGAGATAAAATAGAAAGAACTCATAGATTTGAGCAAAGATAAAAGGCTTTAAGCCAGACATGTCAAACACAAGGCCCGGGGGCCAGATGCGGCCCGTGAAGTGGTTCCATGGGGCCCACGAAGCCATTCTGGAAACAGTGGGGAACGGCCCTCGCTGCCTTGGCCCTGGTCCTGGCCTAGGCCAGCTGGGACCCAATGTACAATTTTGTGGTTGCCCTCTATGCTGAAATGCATTCAGTCTTAGCTCCACGAGGCCGTCTGGAAATAGTGAGGAACCAGCCCCTGCCACATCGGCCCCACTCCCTGGGTGCATGTTGGGGAGGTGTCACCCTTTGTGAGGAATGAAGAAATGGACCATGCCTTGGCACTTGCCCCAGTCCCACCCCTTCTGCCAGAGACCCTCGGATCTGTCCCATTCCTGCCCAGGCCCCCACAGGCACCCTTGACATGAACGATGTACGGCTGGCCATGCCCACCTAGTAGGCTACACCCACTCCATCCACGCCCACCCAGTAGGCCGCACACACCCTGGCCACACCCACCTGGTCCCCCAAGGGCAACCACAATGCTAATGCAGCCCTCAATGAAATTGAGTTTGACACCCCTGCTTTAAGCTAAGTTAAAAATCTTAAACTTTATCTACTAAGAAAAATGTTGTTCTTTTAACACTGTATTGAGAAACTGGATTAAAATTTTCATGGAAGGCACAAGCCTTAGAAATCAGGATCAAAATACCATGAGGCTTTGTATATGTAAATGGCAGACCCAGCCTCCCTTTTTTTGGATTTTGTAACCCATATTTGAACTTTTACTATTTTATGTATTTACCACCTTCTAATAGTAGAAATCCATGATGCCCATTTTAAATAAACCAGTTATGATCAAAGTGAAATCTAGGAATATTAAAAAGTAATTTGGGTGTTATATTTCAGGGTACCCATCCTATTATGATACGTCAACAGGCAGCTAATGTGATGTAGGATTTTGCTTACCCAAAATGGCTGGGTTGGGATCCTTATTTTTGAAGCGATACAAACCAAGCTCATTTAATTTAGAAGTGATAAAGCTATTTCTGCTATTTCAGATATTCCTATCAAAATGTCATCCCTTGTCAGGAATATAAAAGATTGTACCTTCAGATTCCATCTAACTGTGGAAACTGCTATTTTAATAATTGTCAATCAGCCTAAGCTTTCAGATCTCCTACTTGAATAATTCTGAACTGGCTGGATCATTATATTAAATATAATGCTCAATGTCTGCCCAATAGTGCAAACCTAGTGTGGCTCTTGATCATGAAGCGAACTGAATAAAGAATAAAGCATTGCCTGTTCAATTTCCTGCTTGCAACCAATCTATGTAACAAAATCAAAATCTTAATATATTCCTCAGTGTGTCGGCAGTCAATAATGTTCTCATTAAACTAACTAATGTTCTTATGGTTGCTTGAAACACTTTATTGGCCTTCAGAGCTACCTTACACATTTGGAGGAGTAAATTAATTTTAACTGCGTTTGAGTTGAAAGTACCTCATCTACTCATGACCTCCTGAGACTTGATGGTCGATGCCTCTAAATCTAATCTGAAAAGGAATTATATGAAAGCTAATGATTTTAGCAGTTAAATCTCCATCTTCAGGCTTTTACAGATAAACAGTTATTTGAGTGGTAGAATTTCAAGAGCTATTAACTAGAGAATAATTGTTAAAAACTGTTAGGGGAAGAAAGGACATGAATTGCAGCTATAATATATATATATATTGCTCTATCATAGTGCTATGTATGATCATTTTTAGCTTCCTTTCATTTTACCCAGGCTAGTGCAGTTAAAACAGTGTTTGTGCAATAATTTTCAAATATGATTTTAATCAATAAAATTTAAATCTAAATAACAAAGGAAAGACTTAAATAATGATCAGTGTGCCTGCCCCCAAAAATTGAATATTACCCAGCTTGTCAATTTAAAGAGCGTATGTATTTTTAAAAAACATAGATTCAAATGCAAGTTAATGTTAGTATAGGAATAGACTTTTTTTCTCTTAAAACTGCAATCTGGGAAGAGTAAATGAATGTTTCTATAGGAATTGGTAACCTGTTATTAGGGCCACAGTCAATCCTCAGCCTTATTTGAAAAGACTTTTCTATAAGCATGCTTTGCAAAGAGAGAGACAAGAAGAGACAGAGGGAGGAAGAGGAGGAAAAGATGAAAGAATAGTAGAAGAAAATGCAAGGTACTAGGAATGCCCCCCTACCACTTTTGACTCTGACCCTGGTGTTTGCTTCAGTTATTCAGTCAACTCTCATGGGGTTTCAAATACAATGTCCCTGAGAAAATGTGACCTTAAGTGGGAGAAAACTCTGTCCACTAATGTGTAGATGGGAGGACAATCTCTGCAAATTAGACCTTGCTAATAAGAGGCTATATGCGCCATCTACATATACCAGACATGTCAAGCACAGGACCCGGGGGTCGGATGCGACCTGTGGTTTCATGTGGCCTGTGAAGCCATTCTGGAAACAGTGAGGGAACAACTCCCACTGCCGTGGCCCTGGCCCAGGCCAGCTGGGAGCCAATGTACAATTTTGTGGTGGCCATCTATGCTGAAACACATTCAGTCTTAGCTCAAGGCAATCTGGAAACAGCGAGGAACCATCCCCAGCTGTGTTGGCCACACCCCCAGGATGCATGCTAGGGAGGTGTCACTCTTTGTGAGGAATGAAAAAAATGCACCATCGCCTGTAAGTGGCCAGCAAATGGTCCTCGCCTACTTCACATATCCAGCTTGATGGGCTCTGGGGAGGGGTTTTGGAAGGCAGCGGGGCACTCTCCTCACAGCGCTGAGAGGCTGAGCTGGGCGGCACAAATCCAAAAAGAAATGTGAGGCCGCCCAGCTCCCAGCCTGCCTGGTTTCAGCAGGCAGTGGGGCGCTCTCCTCACAGCCTCAAGAACTGAGCCGGGTGGTGCAAATCTGGTGAGAAGTGCAATGCTGCCTAGCCACCAGCCTGCACAGTTTCAGCAGGCAGCAAGGTGCAAAGCTGGCGAGCTTCGCGCCGCTTGGCTCAACCTCTCGGCGCTGTGAGGAGAGCACCCTGCTGCCTGATGAAATCAGGTAGACTGGGGGCTGGGCAGCATTGCGCAGGTAATGTTGACTCTCACGCTGCTCATGGCATCCTGTCCCCCAGAGCCCACCAAGCCAGATATGTGAGGTAGATGAGGGCCATGTGCTGACCACTTCCAGGCAATGGTGAATTTCTTCATTCCTCACGAAGGGTGACACCTCCCCAGCTGCGTTTCTTGCCTGTTTTTCTCCCTCCCTCATCTCAAATATTTTCCCACCACTCTGTACTTAGGAAAAAAGGAAAGAAGGAGAGGGAGGGTCTGAGGGAAGTCCTGCCTTAGTCCTGCACTGCTGCCTTTTCACTATCCCCTTGCCCCCTCCTCCTGGCCTATCCTGGGGGTCTCCCATCCTATTGCTAAGGAAGCTTTGGATACAAAGCTGGGTCTTCTCCCATTGAGAGGGAATGGGCCTCCCTCTGACTTTGCCCTGGTACCCATCATGAACAACCTGGCTAAGGAGAGCAAGCACAGCAGCAGCAGCCTTGAGGAGGAGGTAAGTGCAGCTGGGCTCTCTCTTGGGGAAGTGGGGCTGGGCTTGGTGCCACGGGTGCTCGAGGGCCAGGCTGGGCATTTGACCTCTGCTGCCCAGGACTCCAGGCAGCCTGCACCACCATCCAGCCCCCCCAACATGGCCTGAGAGGAACAGTGAGGCTCCTCCAGTGGACCATGCCTTGGCACTTGCCCTGGTCCCACTCCCTTCTGCCAGACACCCTCAGATCTGTCCCACTGCTGCCCAAGCCCCCACAGGCACCCTTGACACAAACAATGTAGAGCTGGCCACACCCACTCCATCCATGCCCACTCTGTAGGCCACACCCACCATGGTCACACCCATCCAGCCCCCTGAGGGCAACCGCAATGCTGATGCGGCCCTCAGTGAAATTGAGTTTGACACCCCTGACATATACAGTGTTTATTTGATGGAAGATGAATCTCCCAAATACTTCCTGAAAACTGGAAGAGGGGAAGTGGTTGAGTGTCAGTTGCTGAAAATATCACTGAAAACAAACAAATGGACAAGAAATAAAAATAGCTTCATACAGATAGCACTGATGAAGAGGCCTCTGGAGATTATCCTCTTCAGCCACTTGAAAAGATGGGCTCGTCCCCTCTGTTAATGAATTGTAATATCTATATGCAGCTCCGGTTGTCTTTCCTTCTTTGCCCAGTTATTTTCTGTTTGCTCAATTAGATTCAATTTTGTCTACTGCTTTCTCTTCTTCTTTCAGTGCAGTTATCTGCTTCTTCAACCCATCTCTATTCCATTTTCTTTCCTCTTTTTTTGTTTTGCTGTTTCTGTCCAAAGAATAAAGAGAATGTAAGTTTATGCAGTATGCAGGTGAGTGCATGTAATGTGCATGTGAATGCATGTGCATATAAAAAGGTGTGATGTGTACATATTAATGGGCAGATAATCCATATTGCCAATTCTAAGTATTTTATTAGAATTATATACATACAAACACAGAGATATGTATGTATGTATGTATGTATGTTATGTATGTATGTATGTATGTATGTATGTATGTATGTATGTATTCTATCCTTTTGAAGATGCCCTAATTCGTTTTGAGGTAAATATAAGATATACAATAACTTCTGGGCAAGATGGAAGGCATATAAATTTAACAAAGAAACAAGTAAATAAATAAACCTCTGTATATCATGAATAATTGAATAGAATTAATGAATTATATATATTTTTTATTTTAGCTGAGATACTTGTTATAGAAGTAGTGAGCCACTTAGATATTTAATCTACCAAAATCATTAGGCCAGTCATTAGCACTCAGCCTAAATTATCTCCCAGGTTTGTTGTAAGAACCAAATCAGGAAAGCGAGAAAAAAGGATCTTAAATTATTTGGTGAAAGGGAAGAGCAATTCACATTTACCTGAGGAGTGTAGAGTACTTGGAATTTTCATTTTGGATACAGCCCCGAGATCTTTTTTATTACTCATCACTTACAACTTTCTATTAGAAATAATACCTACAATATGAATATATTTTTTGCAACGTAACTTCAAGAAGTTTCACTTGAGGTCAAGATAATAGAGTATTCAAAGCTTTGCAGCACAAACCCTTTCAAAATAGATTTGATTAATTTGTGCATGTGTAGATGTTCTCCTGCAAACTACCCAAATGCCAAAAGTAATTGACCTACATCTGGAGCTGAATGAATTTACAGAGATTAGGGATTTACTGATTGATTAATTGTATCTTCCTTTTAAACTAGATGGAGATTGCAAGGACAGATAACATTTATATGTGACAAAAAACTGTGGCAAGAACCTGCAGGAAATGAACAGTTTGATTTCTTAAGCTCATAAGTCACTTAAACTATCATGAAATGATGACCTGTAGGTCCTCCAATCAGAATGCTATTATTAAATCAAAGCTTTTTTTTTTTTTTAAAAAAAAAAAGAAAACATCCAGGTTGAGTACAAAAGATAGGAGAAACATTATTTTGACAATAGCAATACAACTTTTCTTTTTTGAAGTACTGTTATTTTTAATATATTCTAGCTGACAAGAATCATATATGTTTGTCATGCAGGTGGTCACAGTTCAGGTAACATTAAACAATGAGAAACAAGAACAAATATAGCAAAAAATTCAGAAGTGAAATCTAAATAATATGAAAAATGGACAAAATAACAAGAGTTATTTTTTTATATTTCAAAAATGAAATATAATTCTTTCCCTTCTTATTCTTACTACCTGGTTCACCAGATCCTTCACTGCCAATGTAAGAATTTAGAAAAGCGGAGACTCAGCTGCTGAAAGTTGTCCATTCCCTCATTGCAAAGAAATATAGCTTACTTTATTTTACAAGATGTATATGTCACCCTCATCAAAGACATTTTGCATTTATTTGTTTGTGCATTTGTTTCATCAATTTGTATAGCCTCTCATCTCAACAAGTGATTCTAGATGGCTTTTATATTAAAGAAAAATAAAAACAATTACAATCATAAATATTAAAAAATCAAAATGCTCAGTAGCTAGGAAAATAACACTCCACAAATGCTAACATAGCAGAAGATAGCTTCACATACTCAAGATCCCAGGCCTGGGCACAGAACCAGACCTTTATGCTGAAAGGAAAGTTTTCTGCAAATATTTCATCTAACAGTATAGGGAGATGAGTGGCATAAAAATTAGAGAGAAAGACACAGAAGACAGACAACACAGACAGACAGACTGATTGACTGACAGTAGTATCGGGGCCATCCTCATCTCCAGGGGGAGAATGCTTCTTAAGGAAGGCCCACGGTTGAAAATACATGTTTTCTCAGCCCTGCCAAATGGCATTCCAGAGCTGAGGGGACCCTAAGCATAACTAGCCTGTTGGAGTGAACAGCTAGAAACAATCAGGGAGAAACAGTCCCACAATAACTCCTTAAATTCTATCCACCTATTAAACTAATCAGTCATTACCTGAAATGCCATCAGGCTATTGTTGTTTCCATGCAACAATCAACTTCATACACACACACACACACACACAAATACAGGGACACATTCTAAATACAATGATTAAAATAAAATACAGTTGTGGAATGCTAACTGAACTTCTTCCTTTCTTGGTTGTATACTCCAAAACTGATGTGAGCTGTATTACCTTCCAGTTTCTAATTTTCTATTTGATTCGACAGTTTAAAATATTTAAATAAGATACAAATTGATATTTAAATAAGAGACAAATTGGTAGAAACACTATGAAAATGGATTGAGGAATAAAAGAATACTTCTTGTGGATGATGCATGAGCAAAAGAGTCTGTTATTCGAGCAAGTGTCTCACTCTGTCAGTGGCTATCTTCAGTAAAAAGCATTAGAGGCCATCCAATTTCATATTTAAGATGCTTACAGCACAGCACATTGATTTGACAAGAACATTTCCCTAAGTAATCATAAACAAAATACTGAAATAGAATTTGGCCCATTCCAAAAAATATGACCAATAGCCCACTCTTGAGCTCCTCTTTGCCAATGCCTGATCCATTATATACAGAAGTCGGATTGCTTGATTCTAGATATGAAAGAATTAAATAAAATTACAGCAAAAATAAGTATTTTGAAATTAACTATTAATTTTATATCCCACTTTTTATTTATTACAGTATAATATATTTACGTTTCCCAGATATATTCTATCTTACTTGACAGACACCAGGATAACATCTTTACTACTGAAACATGATATAGGATTGTGATAATATTTACCAATGTTAATTTGCTTCCTATTAAAATTAACAGGGTAATCATTAGCGTTGGCAGCTATCTCTAATGATGCCAAAATGATAAACCAGCTATTTGCATCCTGATATCTAATGCAAGTATTTAAGTCCACAACTTTTGGGCAAGAGAATCATTACATATGTTTTGCCATTTGCTCATCCTTCCCCTTTTGACATCCTCCCATGAACCACATAGTAATAACTCCAGACATGAAAACTGGTAAATCTCAATGGAAAATGGCATGACCTGGAGTAGATCTGGTAAGTCATCTGGTTGGTTGAGACACCCTGGTTCAAATTTCATCTCTGGCATAAAGCACTTAGAAAGTAGGGTATAGTAATATAATGTGTTGCTAGATAGTAAAGTCTTGGCTATCTGGAAGTTTCACAATAATGAATATATTGACGGATTCTAGATCTTTTTTACTTGTAAAATAGAAGAGTTTCACCTAACTAGTATGTCTATAAATGAGAAAAATGTCTAATAACAAGTATATTTTCCATTCTAAGTATTTTGCACATCCTTTTTTTTACTATGTCTTTTAGCTGAAAGACTTTCTCCATAGATTTTAACATTATGCAACTGCAATAAAACAAAATACCTCACATACAGTATAGAACTGAAAGTCCCTTTGATCCTTGGTCAGTGAACTGAATTAGATTTTGCTTTTTTAAGTTTTGAAAGACCAGAACAATAGCTAACGGCAGTCTGCAGCATTGCCTTTATATTGTGGTTCAACCTATCCTGCATCACTCCAAGGAAAAGTAATTGTCACTAAGTTGTTTTTGAACATATTTGTAATTATCAGTAAAATCCTTCTCACAAACCAATCAGCCTTTAAGGCAGTCTGCTTTACGTTCAAGACCTTTCATTTAGAGAATAATCTAGCTCCACCAAGTGATCTTTTTAAAAATTGCTGTTCTGTAAAGTGAGAGCAAACAAGTATACTTGAATTTGCCTATTTCAGATAAAATAAATATCCTTTCCTCACTAAACCCAGGAGAAACATGCGAGATTTCAACTTGAAGAGATTATCATTTTAATTACTTTCTGAAAAGTTGTTTTGATCAAATAATCAACAGTAAATGAAATATTAAACTATACAAAAGTAACCCCTTTTAGAACTGATAAATTAATATAAATGAATAAATAGGTTGAAAAATCTGTTTTATCATATAGATAGGCCTCAGCTTATGACCACAACTGGGACCACAATTTCCATGATTATGCAGAGCAGTTCTTAAATGAGTTGTGCCCATTTTTATAATCTTTTTTGCCATGATTGTTAAGTGAATCATTCAGTTAAGTGAATCACATGGTTGTTAAGCAAATCTAGCTTCCTCCATTGACTTTGCTTGTCCGAAGCTGGCTGAGAGGGTCATGATTAGTGGTCATGTGACTCTGATATGCTGCAATAGTTGAAAATACATGCCAATTGCCAAGCACCTGAATTCTCATCATATGACCATAGGGATACCATGATGGTTTTAAGTGTGAGTACTGATTGTTAAGTCACTTTTTTCAGCGCAGTTGCAAGTTTGAACAGCCACTAGAGAAGTGATATTGTGAAAATAAATAATTATTTGAAAAAAAAAACCTTAAGAATAGAAATAATAAAAAAACAACAAGTAATAATAAATAAAGCTATTGCATTAGAAGATGGCTTTTAGAGTTGATTAGAACCAAATGTGCAACTTTCTCTTAAAACGTATGGCAGGCTTTTCCATTCACTTTCTCTGGACAAATCCAGCCAAACAAAGTCATTTTTACCAACACTATAGATGAATGTGTAAGCCATGAAACCTGTTCACAGTTAGATCCTGGTTATAACTTGTTCTACTGACCTAACTTTGGATATATTTAGGCAGGATGTTGTATTGTTTCTGCATTCTTAAAATCTTTTTTGTCTCAGTCTGTGGCAGTATCTAAATCTTGGCTGATCAAGAAGCAAGGTCAATCCTGATTTGCAATTTGGATTGGGATACCTAGAAGTGTTAATACTATTGAAACATCTGTGAATTTTTAAAAAATATCAAGACAAGAACAAATAGCAAACAACTTTTATAACACTGCCATGAAATGTCATGACAAACTGAGGTGGATATAAGGAAATATTTATTTCACTTTTTTAAAATGTTATTTTATTTTTATGTTACCAAATTAGAATTCATGGTGACTTATCACTAGATAAAACCAAAATACAATAAAATTGCAAAATAAAATATTCAAGTAAAATAACAAGTAGGACAATAATATGTATGAATCCATATGCATCCATAGGCTCAATTGATTGACGTTAGCAGCAATAATTTTACCTCAAAAGCTGTATGAAAAAATTATTTTTGACAGCCTTACGAGTAGCCCAAATAAGAGGCTCAAGGGGATACTATTCTACAAGGTGAAGGCTGCCACAGAAAAACATTATTTCAAGCTTCTATCCCTCTCATTTTACATATGTGATAAACATTTAACATCAGATACTCAGAATGAGAATACAAGATAGAGAAAATATAATCATGAAAGTACCTTGGGCCCAATTTTGAGTCCAGAGGACTCCTAAGTCAAAAACCTGCTTTTTCAAAGAAAATTATCCCATGTTGTAATCACAGTAGGTAGAAAACCGGTTGGTTTATGTATAAATAGCAATTTCATCTTGGTAAGTTTCAATTTCAGCCTGTTTTATCTCAGCCAAATTCTTACAGCTTTTAGGTATCAAGTATGATGTAATATCTTATATACCTAAAGTGAGGGGATAGTGTGAGAGGTTCAGAATAATGCCTTCTTAGTTATGCTCAATATAAATTGAACAGGAAAAGTGTATTGACAGGCTTTCAGTTTTATTACGTTATCCTACTTCTAACAGGGATATTTCCAGAAAACCAAGCAGTTATTTACCAGCCTTGCAGAAGATGATAATTGATCAAAATGTCTACAACTGGCATGTCAAACTGCTGGCCCATGCCCCGATGTGTCATGCTGAAATCACGGCCACCCCGTTGCTGGCAACGGGGAAAAAGTCGCGATACGTCGTGTGACATCACATGATGTTGAGAGTTTTGACATGCCTGGTCTACAACATCTTCAGCTCAGTCAAGATAAAAACATATAAATAGGTATCATAAGCATAACAATCATAGTAAACTGATAGATCTTTACTTCCAAACCAAACCCTCTGGTAGCTCATATATGAATCCTAGCATGCCAACCTCTCTCTGTCCACGATTTCTGATTAGTGCTTCTTACTTAGGAAGACCTGAGACTTTGGCAAAAGTTTTCTCAACCTCTAACCTTTGCAGGTGGTTCAGAATATCATAGTTAGTGGTTATCGAACACTACTAAGAGTTCAACTCGGATCTGGAAGAGCACACTTTCCCCACCTAAACAAATGACATTTCTATCCCATATCCAAGGTGAAACCATGATTAAAAAGGATCCAGAAAAACTGTTTAGCATTGGTTGAATTCCCACTTTTTCTACAATCTTTTTTAAATACATAGATTGGAGAAAGAGTGATGCTTGTCCCAAACAACCTCTGGGAATGCCCTTCATCAAGACCACTATCTCTTTCAAGCATGCTAAGAAGGCTATGGACAGTTTCTCAGATCCAGTTATTGACTTCCTCCTGACCATCTAAAGGAGCCAAGAGAGACATAAAGTGAGGAAAGAATTAGGATTTGATGAATTTGAGCAACTTTATTTACAAAACATTTATCTCAATGGCACAGCAGCAAATCCCCCATTTTATATTCTATACTTTTCGTATTTCTCACCTTAAAAAATCACAAGAAACTGCTGTTTTCCAGGAAGCGTGGCTCCTTTGGCCATGGAAAATTAGGAACTATATTTTGCCCTGGCTCTAAGATTTGCCTGTAAAGCATGAAAAATTATTTGTAATGGTAACAAAAGGGCTCAAATAATACTTTAAAGCAAAACAAAATAATTTTTCTGTGTTAATCTACCATAAGGTTTTACAGGCTACATAGGTTGGTTTATTGTTACTCTGAAAACTCAAAAATCTAAGACTCAAAAGCCTTAGTGAAAATAATAGAAAAAAAAGTGAATGTTTCTCCTGCTTTCCTGTAATCCAACGGATGGCTTCACAGAAAGATATTAGACATTACCATGTTCACATAACACACTGAGAAGGAAATAAGTGGTGAAAACACACTTGACACCATTTTTAACTCCACTCAACATATTACATCTGAGATTTCAGATTCACTCTCTATTGGTTTGCATTTCAAACTATGGAATCCATTATTCTGGTACTATAACTAAAAACGAGCTTAAGATAAAGCACCTGATTTAAAAAGATCATGGCCTTCATCTACATTTGTGAAGTTTGCAACCTGAGATTGCTTCACTTAATTTTGAAGTTTGCTCTTTAACAGTATCTCAGAAACAAATACTAGAAATAGATTGCTGCAGATCGATTTGTGGAGGAAGGTGGAAAAATATTTTTTCTAATCATTTCAATTTTGAGAAAAGAAGGGGGAGCAGCGACAAACGATTTATAAAACACTTTCTTTAATATAAATAACGTAAAAATTTTTTTTCAGAGTATCTGTCCTAAATCTATTGCAGAAGGTGTTCAGAGAAGCAATACATTTAGTAAGCCAGCGGGGGGAAATTGCAGCTCTGATCCGACTCACGAACGATGTCCATCCACCTAATTGTTTATTTACACAGGAAACCTAAAGCCTCGTGAAGGCATGCTAGGACGGAAAGCTAGAAGGGTCAAAAGTTTAGGCCAACACAAGCAAAAGAGGAAGGAATTTATAGACATAAATTACGGCTCTCTACCGTATTCGGTAGATTAGGTAACAAAGGCGGAAAACGAGAGGTCGCGCATGCGCTATCTCGTTCCAATTGCTCCGCGACAGCCAATCAGGACAAGCAGCGGAGACTTTCGAACAAGCGGGGAAGCGAAGCTTTGGAGGAGAGAAGTTGAAAGCAGTACTAAAGGGCTATAACGGCCGTAGAGACCCCGAGTTGCCGCGGTGCTTGTAACCCTGCAGTGAAGAAAAAGGCTCTTGGAGGAAGAACGCGAACAGCGCGCTAAAGGGATGTTGGGTTGAGTTCGATTTCCTTAAAGTCGTGGGCATGCGGCCAGTAGTGGCGAAGGGCACAGTCGGAAGGGAACGGAGGTAATAGATAAACATCCCGTCCCATTAAGAGCAGATTTTAAAATAACTGGGCTTTCTCCTAGAATTGGCTCCTTGCTCCCTGTTAAAACTGCTTTTTAAATCCTGCTTAACTCAGTGGAACTATGGCCATGTGTAATCCTAGGTATACCAATTCAGAAATAAGGTCCTTTGAATTGAATGGTGGGGGAGGGGAGTCTGCCCCAGGGAAATGTGTATATCATTTTACAACTTTCTGGCATTTGAACAACTATTTCATGATATACAGTTCACATTATTCATCTGCATTATGATTTTTTGCTGTGTACCTAAATTATTGCAGAAGTCACTTGATTAAAGTAATTTATTCTATGTGAAGTTGAGAACAAGGAGAATTTTTACACAGTTTTGTGCCCGACAAAATCAAGTTATTTTAATGTATCAAGATTGTATTACATTTGATAGTTTCTGTACTTTAAGAAATCTAGAAACCTGAGATTTGATTGTTTTCATTCATGTGTGCATGTGACTACAATTTTTCTTCACTATTAGTAGTCATAACATATTCCCATGTTATACCTGATACAGTCATCTGATCTAGTGAGGCTGTTAAAATATATTTGTATTTTATTTTATAATATAATTTATTTGAGAATTTACACTTTTATTAATGCTCAGGAACCATGTTTCATTTTGCTTTCTTTAAGACTTATTAGCCTTCTTACTTTTCACTGCCTTGAAAGTAGCTTACCTAGGAAAGTAAAATAAGGTATATATTCGTAGAATAGCTTCTCATTTGATAAATGTATTTTCGGAAAATTTAGAGGCCCTGGCGTGGGACCAATATAAATAAATAGCCCTTGACTTACAACCACAATTGAGCCCAAAATTTATGTTGCTACCATTTTACAACTTTTCTTGCCGCAGTTAAGTGAAATCACTGCAGTTGTTAAGTTACTAACATGGTTGTTAAGTGAATCTTACATTCCCACTGACTTTGCTTCTCAGAAGTTCGCAAAAGGGGATCTTATGACCCCAGGATACTGTAGCTGTTAAAAATATGTGCAGTTGCCAAACATCTGAATTTTGAACATGTGACCATGGAGATGTTGCAACAGACTTGAGTGTGAAAAATGGTCATAAGTCACTTTGTCTGTTGCCATTGTGACTTTGAATGGTCACTAAATGAATGGTTGTAAGTTGAGGAGTACCTGTATTGTAAAATAAGGGTTGGTTTATATAAAATGTGCTGGAAGAAGGGGGGTCTTTGTGACCATTCACCTGACAGCTTTCAGTCGTCACTCTTAGAATGAAGAACTTAAGAGAATCATAAATCTGGAAGGGACCTTGGAGCTCTTCCAGTCCAATCCTCTCCTCAAGCAGAAGACCCTGTACAATTTCAGACAAATGGCTGTCCAATCTCTACTTAAAAGTCTCCTATGATGGAGCATCCATAACTTCTGGATGCAAGTCATTCAACTGTTTAATTGTTCTTACTGACAGGAAATTTCTCCTTAGTTCTAGGTTGGTTTTTGATTAGTTTCCATCCCTTGTTTCTTTTCCTGCCTTCAGGTGCTTTGAAGAATAGGTTGAACCCCTCTTCTTTATGGCAGACCCTCAAATATTAAAAGAGTACTAGATTTTACTAGATTAGACATGCCCAGTTCTTGCAACCATTTTTTGTATGTTTTAGCTCCCAGCCCCCCAATCATCTTTGTTGCTCTTCTCTGCACTCTTTGTTGAGTCTCAACATCTTTTTTATATTATGATGATCAAAACTGGATAAAACATTTCAAGTGTGGTCTTACCAAGGAATTATACAGCGGTACTAACACTTCACATGGCCTTGATTCTGTCTCTGATAATTCAGCCTAGGACTGCATTGGCTTTTTTGGTGGCTGCTGTCTCATATTTAAGTGGTGGTCCATTAGGACTCCTAGATCCCTCTCGCAGTTACTGCTGTTGGACCGGGTGCCACCTATTCTGTACCTGTACATTTGGTTTTTTGTTTAAGTGTAAAATGTTACTTTCTCATTGATTTTTCTTTTATTAGCTAGGGTCCAGTGTTCAAGTCTGTCAAGATCTATTTTTTTGTATAAATTTTACTAGTTTTTATAGGGTTAGGAATGAGGTGGGACCGGGGATGGGATTTGGATTAGGATTAGGATTGGGGTTGAGGTTAGGGGTTTTCCAAATAACATTCTCAATATTTAGCAAACAGCATAATATCTGGGTTCATGTGTTTAACAAGAAATAATAGATAATAGTTAATTATAATAAACAATATATTAATTAATCACTCAATAGTCTTCTTACTAATATATATTCGAAGTTACATATCACATTCCTTTCTCTCCAGCTCATGTTTCTAGCCATTGATAGAAATTATCTCATGTTCTAAAATACACTGAGTCTTCTTTCCCTTTTATCTTTAAAGTCAATCTGTCCATTTCTGCACACTCTAAAATTTTCTTAAGTAATACTTTTTCAGTTGGTAAATTTTCATTTTTTCAATGATGGGCAAATACAATTCTTGCTGCAGTTGGTACCTGTAGAATTTTTGATCTTGAGCCCATCTTCCCGGATATTGGCTATTCCTGACAGCTTTGGTATCATCTGTTAATTTGATGAGTTCCCCTTCTATCCCCTCAACTAAATCATTTATGAAGATGTTGAAAAGTCCTGAGCCTAAGACAAAACCTTGGGGTATTCCACTGCATCCTTCTTTCCATGTAGATGTAGTTCCACTGAGGACTAAAGGTTAAATGAAGTTTGTCAGCCAGATGTGAATCCATCTGATAGTGATACTGTCTATCCCACCTTTTTAAAACTTCCCAAGAAGTAGGTTGTATCTATTTTGGCAAATGCCTTATTGAAATCTGAATATACTATGTCCATAGCATTTTGTTGGTCCATTAATTTAGTTACTTTGTCAAAGAATACAATAAGGCAGTGATGGCGAACCTTTTATTTTTTTTATTGAAAATTTTTAAAGTTTTTACAAATAAGAAAAAGAAAAAACAAAAAACAACCCTACCCAACCACCCCAACCCTCCCACTCCATCCCCCCAACCTTCCCAGAGCTGAATATAGGCTTAATTAAAATTTCTAAAAATCTTAGAAAGAAATTAAAAAAGTATAAACCATAAGTATATCTAAATACATTACATAAGCTTATAAGATAATTAACAATAATATATATGTAAAAAAGAAAAGCATAAATATTAAAAAAGAAAAATGCTTAAAAAAAAGAATAAAAGAAAAAAGAAGAAAAGAATATAGGTTATTGAAAAACTAAGTAATATTTTTTATATCCAACTTATGTTGTATAAAATCTATCCATTTTTCCCATACCGCAAAAAACTTCTCTTGCTATTGATCCTTTAAAAAAGCTGAAATCTTTGCCATTTCCGCCAAATAAGAAACTTTAAAAAACCATTCTTGCAAGGTAGGCAAAGATTCCTTCTTCCAGTATTGCCCTACTAACAACCTTGCGGCTGTGATTAAATTTAACATCAGTATAACCTCCTTAACATTACAATCAGTAACGATACCCAACAAAAACAATTGTGGGGTAAATTTTACCCTCCTTCTAAAAATTCTTTGAATATTCCACCATATCTTAATCCAAAAAGCTTTTATATTTTTGCACGACCACCAAATATGATAATAAGTAGCATCCAAGCAACCACATCTCCAACATTTAGGCTGTAAGTCAGGATACATACAAGACACTTTTTGTGGATCAAGGTGCCATCTATAAAACATTTTGTAAAAATTCTCCCTTAAGTTCTGGGCTTGTGTAAATTTAACATTCCTCACCCAGATGGTTTCCCAAGTGTCTGGTAGAACTGGTTCACCAAAATTTTGTGCCCATTTAATCATACATTCTTTAATTAATTCTGGTTTTAGAGACCGAGTGCCCAAACTGCAACCCAAAACCCACTTATGCATCATTGGGTGCCGAGTGGGTGTGGCCCATTGGCTGGGTGTGCTAGTTGGGGGTGTGGCCCATTGGCTGGGTGTGGCTACGGTGGTAACGGCAGACTGGGTGGGACTAAAAAGTTCAATCAATCAGTTCCAACTTTGCAAGATCTTTTTTTTTCCTGCAAGAAGTTGAAATTGACTGGTTGATTGAACCTTTTTTTTTTTTTTTTTGCACATGGCAGCAGAGGCCTAAAGCGAAAAGGTTTTATAAAACTAGCTGAAGGCCTAGGACTGGGGCAACGGCACGCATGCCGACAGAGAGGGTTCTGAGTGCCATCTCTGGTACCCGTGCCATAGGTTCGCCACCACTGCAGTAAGGTTTGTTTGGCATGATTTGTTTTTGGCAAACCCATGTTAGATACTAGTTATAACTTTCTTGCCTCTAGCTGTTCACAGATCTGTTGCTTGATTATCTTTTCCAGGATCTTCTCAGGTGTTGATGTCAGGCTGATTGGTCTATAGTTTTTTGGATCCATTTTTTCTAATTTTTGAAAATGGGAACTACATCAGCTCTTTTCCAGTCCTCTGGTAGTTCCCCGTTGCTCCAAGATCTTTGAAGTTGGTTCAGTGGCTTTGAGATCACGACTGCCATCTCCTTCAGAACTCTGAGATGTAATCCATCTGGTCCTGGTGATTTGAACTCTTCCAGTGTGGACAGATGTTGTCTTATCATTTTTTTTTTGCCTATTTTAACTTATATTCCTAGTCAGATTTTTAAAGCTGGAGTGACAAAAACAGTTTGTGTGGCAGCTATTTTTGGAATAGATAAGATATGTGGCTACAAGTAGTAATGTAATCTAGCCATGTTTGGGTATTTTGTACTATGATAAACTTTTAAAACAAAATTTGCAATGATCATATCAGTCTGATCATATATTGGTATTGTTGACTAAATTATTAGAGTTTTTTGTTTGTTTTTAAGCAAAAATATTCTAGATATACCTTCATTAGATATCACCTTACTTGAAGTCTATACAAGCAAGATAATGGCATAGTTATTTAAAAATCCCAATGAATGGCAAAGGATTCAGAAAGGGGAAACTGAAACAATTCATGTTTTCCTCTCAAGCATTTGGTTAAAATGAAAAGCAGAGGAAACCTTTTGATTTTATTTATTTTAAATATTTCTTTACTGGTTGATTAGAAATTTTATTTCCTCAATGGAAGAGAAAAAGTTAAATTTTCAGTAATGCTTGCCTGATAGAGATTTATTACATTAAACAAGTGGACAACTAAGTTTCACACTGACTAGAAATTTGGGACTTGATGCTGTCATCTGACTTTGCTGTAAGAAAAGTAACATATAGGATAGGAAGAGGACTTTTTTAATGTTAAATACCTGTAACTATTTTTGTTTGAAAGTATTTGTATATGTATTTGTAACGGGAAATAATAGTTTGTGCGTACCTATGCATGTGTGTATAACACATGAAGAATATATTCTCGGCTGAAGGGAAAAAGTTTGAGAGAAAAAATGTGAGACTGACCTTTTAAAGAATTAAATGAATGCTTTGAATTTTGAACTTTTCATTTTATTTCTGTTAACAGTGTGAATAATTGGACCTAAGTTTGGGATTTAATTGTACTATATGTACAGATATTCTCAATTCCTATAATAATGTAAGTTTTGTTATGTTTTGTAACTTGAGTTCGTATAAGATGAATGTTGATATGGTTTTGTTTGCTGTTTATCATGTAATTTTCATTGTATAATTCTTATGTAACGATGATGATATAATATACTTTATTGATTAGTCAATTGATCATATCAAACATGGGCATCAGCCATAGTAAAGAGTACTGCCTTATTGATGATGTGCAGGTTAGTTCCCTACAGTAAGTAAGATTGTTTCTCTTGGGTGCCCTAATATATGAGGGTGAAGGATCTGATGAAGATTTTTCCTTCAACAATTTCTAAAGGGAAAACCTTCATCAGTTCTCCGAGCTTGTGGGTTGGTTTCGGAACGTTTCGTTACCAAACTTGGTAACATCTTCAGCGGCTTTTAGGGGATGCCTGTGTTAGTGCTCTTCTATTTATAAGGGCTTAATATATTTTAATTTTTAAATAAAGGTCTAAATAAATGGCTCTTTCTGGAGAGTAGAACTTGTAGTCGATATCAATCTATCAAATGTATTGCCCCCCATCTTACTATAAAGTAACTCTGGGAGGCTTACAATATTAAAAATGAAACTATATAAATAGAACAAAATTCAAAAAACAAAATATGATAGCTAAAAGATGGAGAGGGAAGGAATAGGATGAACAGAGGGGAAGTGGGATCTGATATTTAAGCCATCTCCAATATGAAGTCCTTTGGATCCCCATGCCAGCTGCAAACACAGGCCTTTAGATTCTTATGGAAGGCCACAGACCAGTGCCACGGCCTGGATGTTGAGACCCCTGAAGTAGGTGATTCCAAATAGAGTCTCTATTGAATCAAATGCTGCATTAAGATCTATCAAAATGTAAACAGTTTTCTCCCTTTAACTACTGTATATATTTTTTATTAAATGGCTTAAAATGAAGCAGTTGTCAATAGTGGAGCAACCTGGTCTAAAACCAATTTGGTCTTTCGGAAGCAAGCCTTTTTCACTTACCTGGTCTTCAATCTTTTTGTATAGCTGACATCTGCTTCATTTTATGATGTTTAATAGAAAAATATATAGTTAAAGGCATATAACTTGGCATGCAATTTTGCTACAATAGCAACTAAGGTAATTGATCTATCATAGTGGTGGCAAACTTATGGCACGGGTCCCACAGCTGGCACAGAGAACTGTCCCTGTGGGCGCGCGTGCCATCACCCCAGAGGGAGGTGGGGCCAAGCTGCTCCCCCCGCCACTCCATGTGCACCTACACTCTTGCTCTCTGCACTGAGAGTCAGGGAGCAGCTGCAAGAGCTGGGTTGATCTGGGCTGGATGGTGGAGGCAGCTGCCAGCGTGAGTCCAGGTATACCTGCAGAGCAATTTTGCGCCCCCCCCCCCGGCCGATCTCGGCGGCAGAGGCCTTTTCCAAATATCTGGAGCTTGGATCCATGGCCACGGGGCAATTTTGTAGCACCCCAGCGGCCTGATCCAGGCTTCGGAGGCCTGGAAAAGGGTGTGGTGGAAGCACAATCCATGTGGTGGGTGGGTGGGAAGCGGCAGCAGCGCAATCCATACGGTGGATGGGGGGGAAACTGCCCCACTTGTTCCATGGCTGCTTTTGGCCAAGCCACATTGCAGCAGTATTGGGTGTAATACGCAATGCGGCAAACAGCTGTGTCATACCAAAACCGGCCGTTTGCCACCTCCTGCCCAATGCTGTTGGCATGAGGCCGCGGAACAAGCCGGGCGGAGGTAAGAAACCGGGTCAGGGCTCTACAAGAGTTGGGTCGAAGTGACAGGAGAAAGGCTCTGTGTGGGGGTTGGGTTGGACACACGTGGGGCTGCTCCCTTGCTTTCTGTGCCAGGGCTAGGCTGGACTGGGCACGGAGCCTCCTCACCGCTTCTTCACCTGCGGACATCAGGAGCGCCCACCCGTCGGCCCGGGGCAGCTGCCACCGTCACACGCTCTAGCTCATTGCCAGATGCGCCGAGCTCAGGCAGATGGAAGCCAGAGGGGAACGAGAGCCACGGCTGCCCGGCTCCTCCGCCTGAGGTCACATACAGGGAGAGGCAACGCCTGGCTCGGTAAGCCACAGTCTGCCCTCAGGAGGAGGAAGATGGAGGGCTGGCCAGGGACAGGCACAGCGCTGCCCATGGGGGGGATCTGACCAGCCCCAGCCTGGAGGTGGGGGAGAGGCCGAGGGAGCACGAAGGGAGACATCCTGGCTGGCCGGCGACCGGCTGGAGAGCACCGGATGGCGGCAGCTGCCCCAGGATGAGCGGTAGGTGGGGTGGGCACTCCCGATGTTTGCAGGGGAAGAAGCGGTAAGGAGGGTCCCAGCCCCGGCATGGCAAACAAGGCAGCAACTCCACCTGCATCTCCAAGCGCGAGTGCACCCCTACGCTGCCAGGGAAGTGGAGCCGTGGCATCTGCGGCAGAAGAGCACAGGCGGGCAGCGGAAGGCATGAGGAGCCCAATCCCAGCACAGACCCTCCCCACTCTCCTCCCCCCTTGGAAGAGCTTTGGGGCTCAGTAGTCTCCCCCCACCCCCGCAGGGAAGAAAACCATTGCGAGACACTCTTCTGTTTTAACTTTTTTTCCTTGTCACTTTTGGGAGTTTTCATCCTGCTTTCATGAGACAGCAGTGTTTGGGAGGGGTGTAGCTGCCCCCTTCCCCCCCAAGCCATCAGCTGAGCAAGATGCCCTCCTGCCTACTGCCTCATCCACTAGAGACCCCCTGGATCTCCCCCAACCCTGCCTGGCACCCACAGGCATCCCTCCCCAGGAGCAACATCAAGCTGACCATGCCCACCTGGCACCCAACAATACATAAGTGGGTTTTGGGTTGCAGTATGGGCACTCGGTTTCTAAAAGTTTTGCCACACTTATCTATCATTTGAAAAACCACCCTTATCACTCTTTTTGTAAATGGACCCATAACAGAGGACCCTATCAGGTGGAATTTGGCAGGAATTATTTATATGGTTAAATAAACTTGTACTCTTGTCTGAATAGTAACATGGCAATATGATTATTATTTGATGGATAGTTCTGTGCTGTACACTTAGCTAATCTTAATTGTTTTCTCAGGGAGCTGCACTCTGAATCAAACCAATGAGCACCTTTTCAGGGCTTTTTCAGTTAAGAATTTTCTTAGTACTGCGTTTAGGGTTTCATAAGCTGTAAGTAGAGAGCTGACATCTGTGCAAGGTTAAGTAACTACTAGAATTAGTGGTTTGATAAAAAATTTCCTATATTCAGTTAAAACATCACATCTATTCTGGTTCATTTTATCCTATCCTGGTGAATCTTTAAATAAAGTGAAACCCATCTATCTATTGTGGTGTAGGATATGACGTCTGAACGCTCACAAAAATTAAGAGCAGCCGGTTAGTGGTCACCATCATCTCTTATATAAACCTGGAAGTCTGAGAAAAAAGATGCATAACTCTTAGGGACGCATATATTGTCTAAAGTACTACTTGATTTCTCTGAATGGTAAGTAAAGGTTATACAAAACTTAGATCTTTGTTCCCTAGAATTTGCAAGTTACATTTGCATTTCAAGTTTAAAACCTGTATATTGTCAGAATTTCTTTTCTGGTCCCTAAAGGACCCTAAAGTTAATAGAGAGTAAAATTTGGAAATGTTCAGATTACTAATATGATCTGGTAGAGAAGGTTCCAACTTCACATTGAAATCTCCCAATACAATTATAACTATGTTGGGGAATTTTTGAATTTAGCTCTTATCAAGGTTTGCTCTAAGTTCACCCATATGCCAGAGAAGTAATATGAGTGAGTATACACATTTAACATCACAATCACTGAGGCCTTACATGGAAATTTAAAAGCTAAGCAAAAAACCATGAAAAGGCATGCTTGGTCATCTGTGCCGTTCCATTCCATTTCTTCCTTGATCAATATGGCCAGACTCCCTATTGCCCAGTCTTTCTATTTTATTTTCCATGCTAGTGTTGAAGGAAAAGTCTTCAGCATGGATCAGTCCAAGCCGGGAATAAACAACATGGCGACTGCTTTAGAAAGAAAGTTGCAGTTTATTGAAGAAGAGAGCCAGACAGAAAGATGACTCTGGAAGAAAAGAGAGAGAGAGAGGACATGTAGAGAATGGGTTTTTATATCTTTTGGAGCCTTTTGTTTGGAGTTGTTCCTGTGGCATGAACTTTGACCTGAGTCTGAGTGTGCCCTTTGGTATCTGTGGGTTAATCCTATTATCTCCTGTCTTAGACTTTGGGTGGGGTATGTAGATTTTAGGTGTCTTCCTAAGGTTCTAAGCTGGAGGCTTCCAACCTTCCTGGATTATTTACGCCTGCATTTCTATAGAGCTGGTTTCTGCTTGGGGGAGGGAGACTTGGGGTTATAAAGAAAAACTGGACATGCTTTTCTGCCTCTTTAATATTGCTTTTTTTGGGGGGGGGACTGACCTCCCACACTAGGGTGATCCAGGACTTAAAAGCCAAATATTTTAATTTGTTCATTGCTGGCTGTTAACCAAGTTTTGTTTACTGCAATCAGACAAAAACTGAACAGAAATTTAGACAGATGGAACAATCTTTTTTTCTATCCTGCTAGATCCCATGCTAATATAGGTATCACTAGTCATTCTTGTATGGAACAAAAAGAGGAACTAATTGCATGGATTGTTATATGCCCTGTCTTTGTACTTAATATTAAATGGGACGGTGTTGGAATTTTGGTTTGAGACAAATGGATTTTTTTGGTCATTCAGCAGAAGTGATGTTATCCAAAATTCCTTTGATGTAAAAAAACAACAAACATCAGTTTGAAATTTGCCTTGCTCCTGTGAGTTTTGAGATGTGCATCAATTTACATGGGGTACTTTTGCAGATTGGCAATGGCATGTATGTGTTTTACCTTTTAGAATGTTTTTTTCCCTCTTTTATCACCCTGGAAAGGTAATGGGCAGAAAGGTTGATTCATTGTGCAGGTTGATTCATGGATGTATGTAAAAAGTTATTTTCATGTCTCTGTGTGTTTGTATTTCCTGTGGTTTAGTTTCATTGTGATTTTTCTCCAGCACTGGAGATGGATAATCCACGCAGTGGGTTGAGACTGTATTCCTGGCCAATCAGATCAGTCAGCCAAAGTTGCCACGCCCCGTCTTGGACCATGATCCTCCAGTCTTGACTGATCTCGCCATGAAGACACATCTAGAACTTTTGGCTCCTGGGCAGGTATAGTTCCTTTCCATTAGGGGGGGATTTTTTTCTAGTAGCTGAAATTGCTTAGTTTAAAAGTTAATTAGAGATAATTTAATTCAATTTAATTGACCACTCAAAAATTTCCTTGCTAAATTGTAAAACTCAGGAAGTCAGATTCCTACAGGGGAAACCTCCCCCACTTAAAAGGGGGAAATCCCTAACTCCCCTCCCTAAACAACCCCAGCCACCTTCCAACAGCCGGCAGCCGCCTTAAACAAACGGGGGGAGGCTCGGGCAACCCCTCGCGTTTAAAACAAACAAACAAACAAAAAAAAAGACAGAAAGGCAAGCAGTTAGCGAGGGAAGCGGAGGACAAAGGGGACGCATGCTGGGAGGGAGATTGATTAAGGGAAACAGCTGGCGTGCGAAGGAGCAGTCTTTTCACTCCAGGCTGCTCAGGATTTTTTAAACGAGGCGCCATTGTCTGCACAGCTGGAAGCACGCGCAGCTCTTTGTTACAACCGCACGTGGCATAGGCAGCCTTGTTAACACATGCGCAGTAGTTTCCTGGCAGCGGCGGCCATATTTTTTGTCCAAACAGGGGAGTTAAAGTTCCTTAAGGAAGCTAGGTTCAGCCGCTGGAGTGAATAATAGGCAAGCAGTACTGGGGTACTAAAGCATCTATTAGTCATTCAGAGACATTCAAATCAGACACATAGCTACTGATGCCAGGACTTGGTGTCTTCTACCTAAAGTAAATAAGAACCTTTCATAACTAACTGTGTTTAGTTGCCTTTGGCTCCTTCCAGACTTCGGGTCCCCCATTAGTGGCCCGTACGCCTCTGGATTTAGTGGTGGGTTCCAGGCATCCCCAGTCGCGTGCCTGTCCTTACCCACCATAGTCAAGCCGGGTTCCAGGCATTCCCATTAGCGTGCCTGTTCTTATCCGTGCACAGTGACTAACTCTGACAATTTGGCAGAGTCTGCTCCTGAGTTCCAGACGCCCCCAGTAGTGCGCCTGTCCTTACTCAAAGTTGGAGCTCTCCTACTACCTGGGTCCCCCCTATCGCGGCCCAGCGTTAGTGGAGAATGGAGGAAGCAATCATTCCCTCCACTGGAGCCCCGCCTTCATCCTCTGGAGCACCTGCTTCAGAGGATTCGGAATCCTCTGCAGCCCCTAGAAAGGCTGCAAGGAAGTCATCAAAGAAGGCTGACAAACAGGCAATCAGAAGACACCAAGCCCTAGAAAAAGAGTTCGACAGAGCCCAGAAAAGGGCCAGAATTGAAAATAGGCAGAATGGGGGAATAGGTTCTGATCTACCGCTGGGTCTCCCTTCATCCCCACGGGCCATTTGGTCATTAGGGAGCTCATCACAGTCCCAAACAGAGGGTGGGATAGGCGAATTCTCATCGCTCTCCCGATCCCCCTCCCCACGGAGGTTACAGGAAACCCCGAGGACCATGCTAACCACAGCACCTGCAGGGTCCCAGGCAATGGTCACTCCTCCTGCATTGACGGGGGATCTGCTAGCTACCCTAATAGCACAGGCAGTGGACCGTGCATTTGAGGCCAGGGCTCAAACTTCAAAAGCCAAGTCTCTAGGACTTAGAACGAGGCATCGGGAGGAAACGGAGGACCATCAGGACCTCTCCTCCGTCTCAGACTCGTCGGTCTCTGAGGAAGCTTACCTGGACCAGCCAGGTACGTCACAAGGGATTCAAATGTCTGAGGAGGAGGAGGACACCTCACCTCAAGGGCCGTCCTTCAGCGGCCTGTTTAACCCTTCTCTTTTTGTTACTATTCTGCGCAAGGCTGAGGCCACAGCCCATCTGGGGCATGGGACACCAGCGGAGCCTGTCACAGTTGACACGGAGGCTGAGCCGACGTTCGCCGAAAAGGTAACCACTCAACACCGCATACCATGCCCGACCATGTTCCTAAACACAATAAGGAAACAGTGGGCAGCGCCAACCTCCCTACCGCTTCCTAGCAATGCGGAGAGGAAGCTATTTAACGTAGCAAGGAGCTAGAGGGAACATTGGAGGTGCCGGTGGTGGACGAACCCATAGGTCCCCTGATATCGGACACGGCCATATCAGGAGATTTTGCTGAGGCTCTTAAAGCCGAGGACCGAAAGAGTGAGTCCAACTACAGGAGAACGCACCAGGCAATAGCTTGGGCTACCAGGGCGTCTACCTCCGCGTCCTTTTTCACCAGAGCCACACTTTGTTGGCTCCGTGAGCTACAGGGCCGGGTTCCCATGGAAGATATACGCACTCATCAGGAACTCAGCAAAATGGTAGCGGCCACGGAATATGCGTCGGACGCAACACTGTTAGCGACCAAGTTTTCAGCCAAGGCAATGGCGGCAAACAACACGAGCAGGCGCATCCTCTGGCTAAAGAACTGGCAGGCGGATACCAAATCCAAGTGGAAATTGGCTTCGGCTCCGTACCAAGGGGCAAAGCTGTTTGGTGAGGCACTAACGCCATACCTGACAGAGAACAAGGACAAGCACAAGGTCCTTAAACACATGCTTAAAAGGCAGGACAAGAGACCCGGCTCCTGGGGAAGGAAACAATCCTTTCGTACGGAAGCCAGGGTCAACTACTTTCAAAATTCCCAACCCTTCCAAGCTAGACAGGATAGGGAAAGACAGGGGGACAGACAGAACACAAGACATAGGCAAACACAGGGAAGACGGCCCTTTCGGGGGAACAACCGCCCCTTCCGCCGTACCAGATGACTCCCGCCCAGACCTTCCCATAGGGGGCAGACTAGCAGGGTTTGCTCCCCAGTGGGAAGAGACCACCACGGACGTATGGGTCAGGAACACCATACGTCATGGTCTATCTCTAGAATTTCTCTCAAAGCCCCCGAACCGCTTCCGCCCGTGCCCCTGTCCCACAAACCCAACAAAGAGAAGGCTCATGAACGAGGCCGTTCAGCACCTTCTAAACATACGGGCCGTAGAGCCGGTGCCTATGAACCAGAGAGACCAGGGGTTTTATTCTATCCTCTTCGTGGTCCCAAAACCCTCGGGGGGTTGGAGAGCCGTTTTGGATTTGAAAAGGCTAAATTTCTACATAAAATACCGCAAATTCAAAATGCAGACACTACGCTCCATCCTTGGAAGCGTAAGGAAAGGGGATTTTCTGGCATCGATCGACCTCACGGAGGCATACTTGCACATCCCTATCTCTCTGGCTCACCGCCGCTTTCTACGGTTTGCCTACAGGGGGCACCATTTTCAATACAGGGCACTTCCATTCGGCCTGTCATCAGCGCCCAGGGTGTTCACCAAGATTCTGGCGGTTCTGGCAGCACAACTAAGAAACGTACCAGTCAGAGTCCAGTGCTACCTGGACGATATTCTAATCCAGTCATCGTCCGCCCAGCAGTCTCGGGCGGACCTAAAGTTAGTGATAAAAATGCTGCAGGACCACGGCTTCTCGGTGAACTTTCCAAAGAGCCATCTAACCCCAACTACGAGAATACTCCACCTGGGAGCGGTCATAGACACAAAGGAATGCAAGGTGTACCTATCACAGGAACGCCTCAGCAGCATAAAGAAAGCCGTAAAACAGGTAAGCCGCGGTCAGTCAGTGACGCTGGTCTGCCTCTCCCAGCTGCTAGGGAAGATGATATCGACCATAGCAATAGTTCCTTGGGCAAGGCTGCACTCAAGAGAACTGCAATGGTTCATGCTCCCGTTTCAGAGACAACAAATCAGTGCATCCCGGAAGAGGGTAGGCATACCTCTGAGAGTACGACACTCCCTCAGGTGGTGGCTATCTCCAGCTCTCCTCAGGGGGTCCCCCTTCAGGGAACCAGACAGAGTAGTAGTCACAACAGATGCGAGCTTATTCGGCTGGGGAGGCCACTTGGGGACCAAGTGGACACAGGGCCGCTGGTCAGCGGTGGATCTCCGACACAACATAAACTGGCTCGAGCTGCGGGCTATTCACCTAGCGTTAAGGCATTTTCACAGCAGCATAAAAGGCAGGCACGTACTGGTCCTGACGGACAACGTGACAGCCAAGGCCCACATAAACCGTCAGGGGGGCACACACTCTCGCTCGCTCTCGGCCGAGGCCCTCCTACTGGGGGCCTGGGCGGAACAAAATCTGGCCTCCATAAAGGCCGACCACATATCGGGGGAGGCAAACATCCAAGCAGATCTGTTGAGCAGATCAACAATAGATCACTCGGAGTGGCAACTACACCCGAGGATCTTCAGGGAGGTCTGTCACCGCTTCGGGCTTCCCCAGGTGGACCTTTTTGCCTCTCCTTCCAATGCCCACCTAACTCGCTTCTTCTCCCGATTCCCATCCAAGGGAGCAGAGCAGACGGACGCGTTACGGAGCCCATGGCCAAGGGGCTCCTGTACGCGTTTCCACCCTTACCTCTCCTTCCGGCGGTAGTACGCAAGATTCTGCGGGAAAGGGCCGAGGTAATCCTTGTGGCCCCTTATTGGCCAAGGAGACCTTGGTTCGCAGACTTGAGGAGTCTCTCCCGCACGAATCCATGGCGGATTCCTCCGGAGAGGATCTCCCTCAAGCAGGGGGAGATCTCCCACCCAGAGCCACAATGGCTACAACTAGCCGTCTGGCTCTTGAACGGTCAATTTTAGCCAAGGGGGCTTGCTCACAGGGTGTAATTAGGGTCATACAGGCATCAAGGCGCCCCTCCACGAACCGTATCTACGAGGCCACGTGGAGAAGCTTCCAATCATGGTGCTCTAAACAGGAATTGTTACTCGAAGGGATCACAATTCCCAAGATCCTAGAATTTTTACTAGATGGCCTAGAGAGGGACCTCTCGCCAAACACACTGCGCAGGCAAATCGCCGCCCTCTCAACTATACTTTCTGCCAGCCCCGGTGAATCCTTGGGCAAGCATCCCTTAATACGATCCTTCCTCAAGGGGGCTGCAAACATCAGACCGCCAACCGTGCACAGGTATCCATCGTGGGAACTACCACGAGTACTACAAGCTCTTACCAGAGCGCCCTTCGAACCACTCAAAACATGTGACATTCGCTATCTGACCCATAAGGTAGCATTCTTGGTAGCCATCACGTCAGCTCGGCGGATATCCGAGTTAGCTTCTCTCTCAATGAGGAAGGACCTGTGCCATTTTCACAGGGACAAGGTAGTCCTAAGAATAGACCCTTCATTCATTCCAAAGGTCAACTCCCTTTTTCACAGATCACAGGAAATAGTCCTACCAGACTTCTGTCCAAACCCAGCTCATCCCCTGGAGCAACAATGGCACACCTTGGACGTACGCAGGGCACTAAGACATTACATTTCACGCACAGCGGAATTCCGACGCTCGGAAGCGCTTTTCATATCCTTCAACCCTGCTACTAGGGGCCGGAAGGTCTCGTCCTCTACCATCGGTAGGTGGATTAGGGCATGCATCACGGGGGCATACCAGGCGGAGTCCTTGCAAGTCCCCAAGCATATCACGGCCCATTCCACAAGGAGTGCTGCCACCTCAGCAGCATGGGCCATGCAGGCTTCTATTGAAGAGGTATGCAGGGCAGCCACTTGGGCCTCGCCCTCTCCATTCATTCGTCATTACAAAATCGACAGGTACTCCTCTGCAGAGGCCTCCTTCGGTAGGAGGGTTCTCCAGCAGGTGCTAGACCAAAGTTGCACACGGGACCAGTCTATTCCCCAACCCAAGGGACAATAGGCTTTGGTATGTCCCACTGCGTGGATTATCCATCTCCAGTGCTGGAGAAGGGGCGTTGACTTACCTGAACGCCTTTTCTCAGCACGGAGATGGATAATCCACACCCACCCTTATAGACTAGAATAATAGGGTATATTTAGTGGAGCCAAAACGTCTTACTGTCAGTCAATGGCTGCGCTCGAGTCAAGACTAAAGGATCATGGTCCAAGACGGGGCGTGGCAACTTTGGCTGACTGATCTGATTGGCCAGGAATACAGTCTCAACCCACTGCGTGGATTATCCATCTCCGTGCTGAGAAAAGGCGTTCAGGTAAGTCAACGCCCCTTCTATTCCAACTGAACTGTACTGGGGTGTGTGTGTGTGTGTGTGTGCGTGTGTGCGTGTGTGTGTGTGTGTGTGTGTAAGTTTGTAGAGGTCTCTCTTTGCTCATTGGAATGTTTGTCAGATTTTTTTTTTTTTCCTTTTGGTTGCAAATGGAGAACTGGAGACAATTTTTGCCTCCTGATGGGGCCTGGAAGAAGTGTGTGTTCTGACCAAGGATACTCATATCCTTTTTTTGTTAGTGGAATAAGTGTGAAAGCAATGGGTAAAAACGCTGCTGAACTGAAATAAAGTAATGCTTGTTTTGAGAAAGGTTTCTGCATGTGTTTTGTTTGTGTGATGTGATATTTAATGTTGGGGAAAGTTTGTAAAACTAATCAGTTGCAAGAAAGGAGACACTGCAAGGAGACCATCTGTTCCTGGCATTGTTGTCCCAGAAAGTTTGGGTCCTTTTATCTGGCATGCAAGCCCAGTGAACCATACCAGATAGCTGAAAAGGAAAAGAAAACTTTTATTTGCAATTAAAAGAGAGCTATCTGGAAGCAAATTCCAAATGAGTGCACCCCAACTTAGAGCAGACACCTTCTTATATAGTTTTGAAAAGTATATATTGCCATGAACCAATCATGGAAACACATCATTATAAACCAATAATTAAGAACAACATCAAGCATACATGTTCAGGACTATACTAACAGTTTAGCTAAAGGTTACAAACTAAAAGTTACAAAGTAGTTATGACCTTTATCTTATCAGTAGCCTTCCTCCTTTCTAAAAACATTCCTAAGCAATTTGGTACCAAGGTCTTGCCCATCACCGTAATGGTTAGGCATTCCTAGTAGGAGACAGATGGTCTGGTCAAATTGGTCTCATTTCTGCTCAACAAAGCAGTTCAAGTCCACGGCAAAATGTGTTAAATAATAAACAGTATTTTAATACATGAATAAGAAATAGTTTACATAAATACAATTAGATTAAGCTTTAAAAAATTGGGCTTTCTTATCATGCCCCATTTTTACTGAGTGTCAAAATGTGCAGAGTCACATAAGTCACAGAAATTTATGGAGACTATTAAAATTTAGACTGCTGAATAGACCATCAGCCTGATTATGGAAAGACAGAAAGTCTAAATAGAGGATTGTTAATCAACCAACATTATCTTATGATTTCTTTTAAAAAGGTTGGCAAAATTTTGGCCACATGGACATCAGGAAGGGAAGGAATTGAATACAACAACATGTCATGAGTCCAATGACTAAGAACAATACAATACCAAATGAAGTTTTTAGCAATCTAAAAGTTGGTATCCCAGAATTAAAAAAAGATCCTCATTGTGTATACTGCTTATTGCTTTATGCAGAATAACATACTGAAAGCTAGATGGCATATGTCTTTCTTGAGCAGCTATAAGTATATCAAGGGCCCATTTTACTGTTGCTAGGACATCAGTGATTGTGTTCAAGGACTTCACAATAGAAGTTGTGGCTGTAATAATCTACAAAAATTAGTGCAGCTCAACATATATGATAGGCTCAAAAAATATCCAACTTAAAAAAATAAATAAAAATATCAGTGTTAATAGCAGATTTACAATTAACACATTTATTCTTACCAGTTTACTATTTTTTTTTTGCAAGTGTAAATCCATCCTGACCTTTTAAAGTATTATTTTTCAGCCAATCTCTCTCTTTTACCTGGGAAATCAAAGCTGTTTCCAGAATTAGCTGGGTAAGTTGACCTTTTTTCTCAATGGATGAACTGCTGTCTCCTTGTAATGGACAGTATGAAATTTGGATCTATTTCATGTTAAACACCTGGATTCCCTTTATCGCCAAACTACATCTGGAAGCAATTTGGGCATCATCTAGAGGTACGGAGATCTAGTCCAATTGCCTTTTGAGTTCCCCGAGTAGGCACTAATTAAAATCAAAGTAGGGGTTTCAGTGGATATCAATATCATTTACAATGGGAGGGCAAATATCTTCTGATGTAATTGCTTAGTCTACCAACTCTCTCTCCTAAAAATGTAATGATCCTCAAATTACTATTTGTTCAGTATTTAATGGTGATAACTTTTATATATAACTTTTCTGTTATAAGTTTTCCATTTAACAAAAGTAGAGCTTGTGCAAATACTGAACTCATTTTTCCTATTTAAATAAAAATAACATTGTACAATTTAATAAAAATTTAATACTATTTCCTAAAATTAAAATTTATAAAGCTGGGAAAAAAAATTGACACAAGAATTAATTCAGTGTTTAGATTGATTGTACAGTCAGACATTGTTTAAAAAAATTCAGTTAGATCGTATCAGTCCATGGCGGTTCTATTAAATATTGCCCAATTTTTTTTCTGTTTATTTATTTTTGATCTTGTGCCATGATCATGGATAAATAAAATTCAATAAACTTCTAATAACCAATTTAATGTCTAAAAGTTAAAGGATTTTGCACTGTCTGGCTATTGGACTGCCTATTCTAGAATAAAATATAAGGTTCCAACTGCCCCCCTCCCCCACCCACTTTTGCTCTTTGCCCAAGGTGTGGGCAAAGCAAATTACCTTGAAAAGATTAAAAAAATATCTTGGGCTATTATCTGACCCAGAGTGTCCTTGCTGTGTCTCGCTAGGCAACTGGCTTAATTTTAACATTGATGCTAATGAATGGATCTATCAGGATTAATTAATTTTTATTTTAAATGTTATCCAAGCTAACTTGCATCTTGCCCTTGAACATCAAAATGTACTTCAGGGAGAAAGGTGTTCAATGTATGGAATCAACATAGGTTCATAGTTTGTAGGTGGCCTCTCCTAAACACATAAGAACTGTCCATGTTCCTGTTTTATCTGTTCTTTGATTTCTTCAAAAATAGCATTTTTACATTTTGACAGGCTTTGTAGTCTATAACAGCCACCTCTATAGGAAGAAAAAGAACTTTCAACAAAATAAGTATAGTTAGGATTTTTATTCCAATTGTATGAAAAGTCCCTGTTCCTTTCATAAGATTCCATGTACATACAAAAGTCTCAGAGCGTGCTAAAAATCAGTATAAATATTCAAAGCAAAATATGGAGGTTCCAATCTCTGAGCTGAGGGTTAATTTTCGCAACCTTTTTCTCAGGGTGGACAGAACAGCACATAATCCATTGCTGAAAGAAAAAGGTTTAATTAACATTTTTCTGTTGCTCTAATAAGTAGCATTTTCACATTTAAAACACTACCAAAATTTTTCATGTCTTTCTCTTATATTTCCATTTTGACCAGGGGAGAAACAGGAATTGTTTTGTGTCCCCCTTTCCCTCTTCTTTTTATATATTTCTTTTTTGTTTTTATCCTACCGTTATTACTTTATTATTAACTTATTTGATTTGTGTGCTGCCATCTCATCTAGAGGCAGCTCTGGGCTTCTTACAAACATTAAATACTAAGTGTAATAAATAACAAGTAATAAGCATAAAAATCAAGACTGCTAACATATGTAATACTCCTTCCTCCTCTTTGCTCACAATAACAACCTTGTGAATGGGTTGTGCTGAGAGAGAGAGAGACTGGTTCAAAATCATCCAGCCATCTTTGATCCCTAAGGCAGTAGTCATCCTCCCCTGGCTTCTACCAGTAGGCCTGCAGCATCACTTGCAACCATTGCCATCAACAGGGTTTCTGCTCTCTCCCCCCTTTCCCCTTCAAAACCCTTTTGGCTGACCTCCTTTAAAACTTTTCCTTCTTCTAGACCAGTATTTCTCAACCTTGACAATTTTAAGGCATGTGGACTTCAACTCCCAGATGAAGTCCCAATGCTGGCTGTGGAATTCTGGGAGTTGAAATCCACATGCCTTAAAATTGTCAAGGTTGAGAAACACTGTTCTAGACTCAGCCTTTAACATCAGAGTTTAGTCTCACAGACAGCAGCTTAATCATTCTTTAATCTCCTCTCCTTGCATTCTGCGTAACATTTTCTTTTCTTTGGGAGATGTAAATAATGATCAAAACTACGACAGTCAACTCAATTGAGCTGGTAATTTTTACAAATATAGATTGGTTTAAAAAAACCCAGCTAAGATCTCTGTTCTAGGAGGGGAACCCACTTTAAAGGCAGCATGCCAAAATACTCTCTTGGCTCACGTGGCCTTTGCCAAAAGTGAGAAAGTGAGAAAGCTTTATTAATCAGTCATTTTCCCCTTCTCCCTTTTCTAAATACCTAATGGTGAATTCACAAGCTGCTTCTTAACTAAATAAAGTGAAGCTGAACCCATTACATGTCCTCCAGGGGTTTCTTTAAGTAAATCCTCTTCTGCTTTTGAAGGAGTTATGGGCACAGTGAAATTATATTTTACATCATCTCTCTTCCTTCCCCTCCAAAAAAACCCTCAAAAACATCTCAATACACAGTTATTCCATTTGCTCATTTGTCAGCAAAGACAATTACTACCGTAACAATAACGGTAATTGCAAAATAGTTTCAGCAAACATTAGCACCACAGAAAATTGTCCCTCCCTCTTGCAAGAATGGCACACTGAACATTGAACCAAAGAGAAAAAAAAATTCACAGACCATGTATGTGTAACAAAGGCTACTATATATTCAAAGACTATATAATAAAGGCTACTATATATTCAAAGACTATATAATAAAGGCTACTATACAATGTTATTATATCCCCAAAACCCATTTCACAGCCATCTTCCAAAGAATAACGTTAGTAAAGAAAGCTCCAATTTGGTCTTAGTTAGTCCCTAGCAAACCTTTTCCAATGTTTTATGATGCAACCAAGAAGGCTACATTCTCAGATCCTGCTCTGTACATTGCTCACTTACCATTGCAGTGCCATGACCTGCTTCCTATTTTCTCCAAGAAAGCTCAATAATGCTTTCTGGACAAATACTAGTCTTGGCATTAGCGGAGAGTCAGATGGTGTGAAAAAGCCAGCTGTACCATACAGATCAACGTGTCCTGGTCTTGATGCTCAGATGCTGAAGCCTTGTCAGGCCTGCTCCAAATGATCAGATAATAGGAATGGACTTTGTATGTGTTATAGATGAGTTATTCACTGATAAAGATTGAGAATGCAAATCTTCCCCAGCATTTTTGGCCTGCCTTCAACACTCCTTAGATATCAGTCCTTTGAGTCTCTGATGTCACCATTACGCTAGCCCAAAAATCCAACTCAATCTTATTCAGTGATGGCTCATAGGCATGCAGCCTTCTACTCAAAGTATTAGAGGGGTACACAGATCTACTAGCCTCATTTTTTCCCCAGAAACATTCTAATCACAGTATAGATAGATTTGCAGGATCTGGGTGGACCCTGAGGTGTTGGGTCAATAGACAGCCCTGGGATCCAGCCATGAATTTAATTGAAAAACATTCATATACTTTTCAATCATTTTACTTTATGTCTACTAGTGTATGTTATTGGGTGACATTTCAGGATCAACTCAGTAGAACCAGACAAGGCCCTCAGGTTTTGTCCCTATTCAGGCACCAGAATTGATGTCCTAGAAAGCTTGGGTCCTTTTATCTGGCATGTAAGCCCAACGAACCCACCTGATAGCTGGAAAAGAAAAGGATTATCTAGAACAGTGGTTCTCAACTTTTCTAATGCCGCGACCCCATAATACAGTTCCCCATGTTGCGGTGACCCCCAACCACTTATACATCACTGGGTGCCAGGGGCATGGTCAAAGAAAAGGGGGAAAAAATGGCAGACAGCCTTGTTTGGCGACCCCCGTGAAATGGTCGTTCGACCCCAAATGGGGTCCCGACTCACAGGTTGAGAACCACTGATCTAGAAGCAAGTTCCAAGTGGACATACCTGGGCTTGGAATAGAGCCTCTCTTATATAATTCTGAAAAGTATACATTTCCTTGAACCAATCATGGAAACACATCCCCATTATAAATTAATCATTAAGAGCAACATCATGCATATATCTTCAGGTGGTCATAGTAACACAATTCAGGTGAACCTGAATCTTTATAACCTAAAGATTACAAAATATCTAAGCCTTATATTTATTAATAACCTTCCTCCTTACTGAAAACATTCCTAAGCAACTTGATACTAGGGTCTTACCCATCACCTTAATACTTAGGAATTCCTGATCTTGTTGTATACCTTTATTATTGGTAACTATGGTAGGTGAGCTGCTTTATGATCCATGCTGAGGTCTATGATCAAATGCATAAATTTCTTCTAAGGAAGGTCCCTATTTGTCAAATCAAATGCTGCACTGAGGTCTGTAAAAGTTGTAAACAGGTGTCTGGCTCCCTTTAACTGTTTATTTTTCTATTAGGTGGCATAAAATGAAGCAGTTATCATTAGTGGGGTGAACTGGCCTAAGAGCACTTTGCTTTGGAGGAAGCAAGTGCTTTTCCATTACCCATTCCTCAATCTTATATAAAAATACTTGCCATACAGTTTTGCTACAATGTCAAATAGGCTAATTAATTTTTAATTTCTCTTTTTGTAAATGGGAACCTTAATAGAGGGGTCCCAATCATCTGGAATTTGGCAGGAATTATTCATATGGGTATATAAACTTACAAGTAAGGAAGTCCACCAATCAAATAATTTTGGAGATAGAAGATCTTCTCTTGTTGAGCATCAGGGTCTGAAGAGTTCTCTAGTTTCTTGTTCAATCACCAGAGAGCATGGTGGAGTGGAGTTACAGATCTGTTGATCATTTTGTGGGTCCTCTATTCCATTAGTCCAATTCGGGCATGAATTGGCTGCAATATTCTTCCCATGTGGAGGCAGATATAGGGTTGTCCAAGGATAAGCTACATTCCCACAATAGTCCTGCAAATGGCTGCCAGTAAAAGGTTAGATGGGTTTTTGTTTGCTACCTCTAAATTTAACAATAACGGGGACAAGTTTATAGTTTTATTGTACTGTTATCTGAAAGGTAGAATGACAATGTGATTATTTTATAAATAGTTCCATCTGTAAAGGTTGAGGATACCATAAAAATACATATGGAATATAGTCATGCTGACCACATGACCAAGGAAAGTCAGACAGTGCTGGCTCTCTTGACTAAGAAATGGGAATGAGCACTACTCTCTAAAGCTGGACACAACAGGACAGGGGAAACCTTTACTTTATACATGCATACATACATACATACATCACCTTAACTGGAGGTATTAATAGCAAAAGCATTTAGGCTGGTATTAATAATTTGATTCTAGCCTTTATGTTGGGGTTTGTACTTGTTTTAGTTTATATGTCAATATCACAGACCCCAAGATAATGAAAATAGTAAAAGGAGACCTCAAGTAGGCTTCCAATTTATAGCCAGGATTGATGTTTCTCTGTAATTTTAAGGAAGCTATCTTCTGGAATACTCCTTTTTATCTTTGATTTCTTTTTTAGAAAACTCCATGTTTGAGTTATAGGAAAGGAACATAGTGTTTTTAAAATACTATTTCTATATCACATGTACATTGCAGAAGGTAAGTAAGGATGTTTAATTATAGAGTTGCTTTCCATGATATTACTGATATTAGAAGTACATAAAAAGCACAGTTAAGTTTTTATTGCTTATCTATCTGAAATCCCTCTACCATGTTATACATTTGAAGGAGAAGAAAAGATTTGGGAAAATGTGATGACAGAAGGTACCCACAACGTGTGTGTGTGTGTGTGTGTGTGTGTGTGTGTGTGTAAGTTACATTCACTACCAAATCTCACTGCTCCACATATATATGAACTGTTTAAAGAACTAATGTAAGAAAACATTCCCAACAATCTGAATCGATCCTGAATGGTGACAGACTCAGTTAAGAACCTGTGGCCTAGTAAACCAAATTGTTTTCCAGCTAAAAGTCATGGTTTTGCAATGCCATATTCAGAGGTGCTCAATGTAAGGTTGTTTTTCATGATTTAGACACTACAATGGAGGAATATTTGCTTTCTTTGTATTTTCTTATTACTCAAACAAGACAGAAATCTTAAGAGACCATTTAGAACAATGTGATCTTGGATGTAACTTAGATAAGACAGTTGCTGTGATAGGATAGCTGCATTTTTGTTATAGGTTTTTGTTGTTGTCAAGGTTTTATTTTGTTATCAACTTGCTACTGCTTTTAAATCTTTACCAATGAAAATCAATCTGAATGGACTGAAATGTATCAACCTTGATGCTAAATACAATCACTGAAATTTAAGTGTGCTTTAAAATTTAAGAGAAATTGGAATTGTTAGAATATTTTTAGTTTTTATATTATAATATTTAATTTGTGCATTTCTGAGCACTTTTATCAAAGCTTCGAAATCCTGTCTCATTTTATTTTCCTTAAGATTTGTAAGCCATCTAACTTTTCACTGTTCATAGGCCTTGAAAGTAGCTTACCCAGGGCAGTGAGATAAGGTGTACACTTCAAGGATAGCATCTCATTAGATAAATTATTCTCAGAAAATTTAGACACTCTGGCATGGTAGGAAGATGTTCCTTATATGGAATGATGAGAGGGTGGAATTGGTTGAATGGGTAAGGGGATGGCACTGTAAAGGAGGAGCTAATCATGGTGTATATAACCTGTGCTAGAAGAAAGGTTCTTTGTAGCTTCACACCTAACAGCTTGCTGTCATCATATTTAGGTGAAGAAAAAGGAACTTTATGCAGTTGGCTATTTTCTTGATCCCAGCTCAGAATCGGATTTGGTAAGAAATAAAATATTCCAATAATACAAACATTATAAGAGAAAAAGAACAATAATAAGTATTCATAATTCATAAATAAAACTAAAATTGAGTTTTCATCTTTCAAATGAAATGAGCCATAGGGAGCAAAATACAGTTGGTGTCTAAACTGCTTTTTTATATAAACTGTAGTAACATTACATGAGGACAAACATTTTTATTGTGTAATAGATGCTTTGTTATAATCATGTCCTTAAAGAAGATATGGATACAAACATATCTAAGACTGCAAGTTAAAATCAATTTGCACAGTATTTTTCCAAATTTAACTTTTACATTGTTAAGTCTTGTTGAAGAACAAGCTTTCGTAAAGAGATTTTGCAGAAGTATTTTAAAATACTATGTTTTTTTCTCATGTATAAAACTTTATTGCTATAAAACCTAGTTATTATAAATGATTTGTTAAAGTGGTAAAATTTTAATTATATTTGAATACAACATTTCTTTATTTTTAGAATGAAATATGGCAAAAGTTTTGAAAAAGTCCTTTAAGGATAGTTTGGAAGATATAAAAGAACGAATGAAAGAAAAGAGAAATAAAAAATGGGCAAAACTGGGTAAAGCGAACCAGGTTTTACCTATTAAGAGTAAAATTGCAGGTAAGTATTTTAATATTCTCTTTTCCCTCCCCCCCCCCAAAATATAATTTTTGAAGTTAAAATTATCCATCTTTTTTAGATAATTCTGTGGCACAGTTGAAAAACTTTCAAGCAAATAATCGTGCTTTAGCTTTGGCTTTAGAAGAAGAGAGGAGTAAAATGAGGGAAGCACAAGATATCATACTATGTTTAAAGAAAGAGTATCAGAGCCTGAAGTTTCAGAATTTTGACCTACAAAGCAAGCTTAAATTACAACAAGAAAAACAACGTGCTGAGGTATTTGTTTTAATAAGGTTTCAGAAAATAAATTATAAATAATCATTTTAAATTTATATTGCTATCATTGTTTTGATTATTTTTACTTTTATGTTTAAAGAAGCTTCAGAATGTCAATAGATTTTTTTTATGAAATGCCCTTTATAGTTATTTTATTTTGTTTTCAATTAGAATAGATTCATGGTAGTGAAGAAGATTATTTCCAAAGTTGTTCAAGATCTACTCAGTGCAGCTAATATTCTTGATCCTTTAAATGATGTCTCTACTGCTGCTTTTGTAAGTTTTTTATTCTCCTCTTTGCATGTGCATTTGTAATCTGTAGGCTTGAACTATCAGTGCAGATTATTGGAAAAATATTTATACAAATCAATGTTCTTGACCTATTGGGATCTAAAAATTGTCTCAAACCTGAAATGAAGTTCAAGTATTCAAGACTGAATTATTTTGAGAAAATTCCAAGTGGCTCTGTTCTGTCATCTGAAGTTGCAGAAATATATTGGCTAAGTTGCAATAACAGATTGTCTTTGTATATGTTTATATTTAGTTGCTCATGTCCTTTTGGACTTCAAATAAGATAACTCTCCTAATTTCTTCTATAAACCTCAAATGTTCTCTTCCTATTTTTTTACACCTACTTTTTGCAAAAGTAAAGTGATAGCACTAAAAATGAGATTTGATAATATGGGATTTATTTTAAATCTTTTTCTTGTCCGATATTACAGCTAGTAACAGACTGAAAAACAAACTCCTAATGCTGGTATATGATGAACCTAAACAGAAATTCAGTGTCTTTATCTGTAGACATTAATTCAGTGTTAAAAACATGAGCCATGATGGATATTTTGTAAAATTTGAATTGCACAAGGTGTTTCTATTTTTTACAACGTCCTACTATAGTTTTAATTCCTCTTACTGACCTTTGACTGGCAGAATTCCTCTTACTGACTTTTCATAGTAAATTGATCTAAAAATTGCTGCTGGAATCCGTGTTTATATGTATTTTGCAAATATTGTATCTGACTCAGTTATGGATATCTAATAATTTTTTCCCAACTCATCTTTAATTTTTGTAGAATACAACTCAGCATGACTTTGAACATGAGGAATATGCCCCTGGAAGTTTAAAGAAGCATGATGCTTTGTAAGTATACTTCATGAATTTGGATTTTTAAACAAATAATTGCTTTTCAAAATCTATTTTTAAAATAGATAAAGTGCTTCAGTCAAGGCTAACTTAAGCAGTGTATAAAACCAATTGACCCAATGGATTGAATAGTAACAAAAATATAATATTAAAGTATAATAAGATTATAATTTTATTACTACCCTAAAGTCACTCAAGTCCTAAAGAACTTTTGTAATGGTCAACAACTTCCAAGAGAATAAGAACAACCCTACCAAGGGTGAAGTTAGAAGTATGAGAACAAGTACAAGCTGATCCAGAGAAAGGGATCAGGACAAAGAACCACCTGTGTTGTGAGCTGCAGTGGGGGTGGGGCTTTCCTGTCACAACTCAGCACTTTCAGCAGACATTCTCAGTCCTTGGATTAGAGGAGCAACATCTATACCGAATAAGCAATATCAGAAAAATCTGGGCCCTGACAAAACGCAAAATAAATTCTACAAGGCAAATATATTTTGAAGTAGACTTGAGGTGATTGGCTGTTTTCAATTTATTTAATATATAATCCAAAAGAAAAATAAGGGTTCTCCAGCACTGGAGATGGATAATCCACTCAGTGGGTTGAGACTGTATTCCTGGCCAATCAGATCAGTCAGCCAAAGTTGCCACGCCTGTCCTGGACCACGACTTCCCAATCTTGACTGATCTGGCCACAGAGGGGATCATTTTCTAGTAGCTGAAATTGCTTAGTTTAAAAGTTAATTAGAGATAATTTAATTCAATTTAATTGATTACTCTAAAATTCCCTTGCTAAATTGTAAGACTCAGGAAGTCAGATTCCCTACAGGGGAAACCACCCTCACTTAAAAGGGGGAATACCCTAACTCCCCTCCCTCACCCAAACCCCCACCACCCTCCCACAGCCGGAGCAGCCAGCTGCCGCCTTAAGCAAACAGGGAAGCTCGTGCAACCCCTCGCGTTTAAAAAAAGAAAGAAAGACAGAAAGGCAAGCAATTAGCGAGGGAAACGGAGGACAAAGGGGACGCATGCTGGGAGGGAGATTGATTACGGGAAACAGCTCGCGAGCGAAGGAGCAGTTTCTTTCATTCACCAGGCTGCTCAGGGTCTTTTAAACGAGGCGCCATTGTCTGGGCAGCTGGGAGCACGCGCGGCTCTTTGTTACAACCGCACATGGCACCGGCAGCCTTTTTAGCACAGGCGCAGTAGTCTCCTGCTTCTTTAGCACATGCGCAGTAGCCTCCTGGCTCTTTTAACACATGCACAGTAGTCTCCTGGCAGCGGCGGCCATATTTTGTGCAAACAGGGGATCCAAGGCTCCCTGAGAAGCCTAGGTCCAGCCGCTGGAGTAAAATAATAGGCAAGCAGTACTAGGGTACTAGAGCATCTATTATTCATTTAGAGACATTCAAATCAGACACATAGCTGCTTGTTCCAGGACTTGGTTTCTTCAATCCAAAGTAAATAAGAACCTTTCATAACTAACTGTTCGGTTGCCTTTGGCTCCTTCCGGACTTCGGGTCCCCCATTAGTGGCCCGTACGCTTCTGGATTTAGTGGTGGGTTCCAGGCATCCCCAGTCGCGTGCCTGTCCTTACCCACCATAGTCAAGCCGGGTTCCAGGCATTCCCATTAGCGTGCCTGTTCTTATCCGTGCACAGTGACTAACTCTGACAATTTTGCAGAGTCTGCTCCAGAGTTCCAGACGCCCCCTGTAGTGCGCCTGTCCTTACTCAAAGTTGGAGCTCTCCTACTACCTGGGTCCCCCCTATCGCGGCCCGGCGTTAGTGGAGAAGGAGGAAGCAATCATTCCCTCCACTGGAGCCCTGCCTTCATCCTCTGGAGCACCCGCTTCAGAGGATTCGGAATCCTCTGCAGCCCCTAGAAAGGCTGCAAGGAAGCCATCAAAGAAAGCTGACAAGCAGGCAATCAGAAGACACCAAGCCCTAGAAAAAGAGTTCAACAGAGCCCAGGAAAGGGCCAGAATTGAAAATAGGCAGAATGGGGGGATTAGTCCCGATCTACCGCTGGGTCTTCCTTCATCCCCATGGGGCGTTTGGTCAATAGGGAACTCATCACAGTCCCAAACAGAGGGCGGGATAGGTGAATTCTCATCGCTCTCCCGATCCCCCTCCCCACGGAGGTTACAGGAAACCCCGAGGACCATGCTAACCACAGCACCTGCAGGGTCGCAGGCAATGGTTACTCCTCCTGCATTGACGGGGGATCTGCTAGCTACCCTAATAGCACAGGCAGTGGACCGATGCATTTGAGGCCAGGGCTCAAACTTCCAAAGCCAAGCCTCTAGGACTTAGAACGAGGCATCGGGAGGAAACGGAGGACCATCAGGACCTCTCCTCCTTCTCAGACTCGTCGGTCTCAGAGGAAGCTTACCTGGACCAGCCAGGTACGTCACAAGGGATTCAAATGTCTGAGGAAGAGGAGGACACCTCACCTCAAGGGCCGTCCTTCAGCGGCCTGTTTAACCCTTCTCTTTTTGTTACCATTCTGCGCAAGGCTGAGGCCACAGCCCATCTGGGGCATGGGACACCAGCGGAGCCCGTCACAGTTGACACGGAGGCTGAGCCAACGTTCGCCGAAAAGGTAACCACTCAACACCGCATACCATGCCCAACCATGTTCCTAAACACAATAAGGAAACGGCAGCGCCAACCTCCCTACCGCTTCCTAGCAATGCGGAGAGGAAGCTATTTAACGTAGCAAGGGAGCTAGAGGGAACATTGGAGGTGCCGGTGGTGGACGAGCCCATAGGTCCCCTGATATCGGACACGGCCATGTCAGGAGATTTTGCTGAGGCTCTTAAAGCCGAGGACCGAAAGAGTGAATCCAACTACAGGAGAACGCACCAGGCAATAGCTTGGGCTACCAGGGCGACTACCTCCGTGTCCTTTTTCACCAAAGCCACACTCTGTTGGCTCCGTGAGTTACAGGGCCGGGTTCCCATGGAGGACGTACGCACTCACCAGGAACTCAGCAAAATGGTAGCGGCCACGGAATATGCGTCGGATGCGACACTTTTAGCTACCAGGTTTTTAGCCAAGGCAATGGCGGCAAACAACACGAGCAGGCGCCTCCTCTGGCTAAAGAACTGGCAGGCGGATACCAAATTCAAGTGGAAATTGGCTTCGGCTCTGTACCAAGGGGCAAAGCTGTTTGGTGAGACACTACCGCCATACCTGACAGAGAACAAGGACAAGCGCAAGGTCCTTAAACACATGCTTAAAAGGCAGGACAAGAGACCCGGCTCCTGGGGAAGGAAACAGTCCTTTCGTACGGAAACCAGGGTCAACTATTTTCAAAATTCCCAACCCTTCTAAGCTAGACAGGATAGGGAAAGACAGGGGGACAGACAGAACACAAGACATAGGCAAACGCAGGGAAGATGGCCCCTTCGGGGGAACAACCGCCCCTTCCGCCGTACCAGATGACTCCCACCCAGACCTTCCCATAGGGGGCAGACTAGCAGGGTTTGCTCCCCAGTGGGAAGAGACCACCACGGACGTATGGGTCAGGAACACCATACGTCATGGTCTATCTCTAGAATTTCTCTCAAAGCCCCCGAACCGCTTCCGCCCATGCCCCTGTCCCACAAACCCAACAAAGAGAAGGCTCATGAACGAGGCCGTTCAGCACCTTCTAAACATATGGGCCGTAGAGCCGGTGCCTATGAACCAGAGAGACCAGGGGTTTTATTCTATCCTCTTCGTGGTCCCAAAACCCTCGGGGGGTTGGAGAGCCATTTTGGATCTAAAAAGGCTAAATTTCTACATAAAATACCGCAAATTCAAAATGCAGACACTACGCTCCATCCTTGGAAGCGTAAGGAAAGGGGATTTTCTGTCATCGATCGACCTCACGGAGGCATACTTGCACATCCCTATCTCTCTGGCTCATCGCCGCTTTCTACGGTTCGCCTCAGCACTTTCAGCAGACATTCTCAGTCCTTGGATTAGAGGAGCAACATCTATACCGAATAAGCAATATCAGAAAAATCTGGGCCCTGACAAAACGTAAAATAAATTCTACAAGGCAAATATATTTTGAAGTAGACTTGAGGTGATTGGCTGTTTTCAATTTATTTAATATATAATCCAAAAGAAAAATAAGGGTTTTGTATTAATTAGTAGCATAAGATTAATGGTTTAATTTTATTATTCCAGGAGGAAAAGTAACAAAGCATTATAGTACACAAAACAAGTTTTAATTATTATTATTATAATCTTTTGCAATAAGACACTTTATTAAAAGATACTATATATCATGTATGTATTAAAAGTATATTTTGCTTCATGTGTAATACAGTAGAAGATAGAATTGTGATGTTGGTGACCTTAATCTGAGAGGCAGGATTATTTAAGAGCCCTCATCTTTAGCTCTCCTCCCTTTCTACTTACTTGATGTATTTTACCTAACTTGATCAAGTTTTTTGAAGAACAGATTTAATAAGTACAATCTTGAAAGTATTCCCATAATTCAGAGTTCAGCAGCCATATTTATTGGCATTATCCCATGAATTTGTGCACAATCACAAGAAATATAAAAATTAAAATTGACTAAAATAGTTTAAGATCTATGCAAGAGCACAAATATTACAATAATGGCTATAATTAAAAAGGATATATTCTTTTCTTCTTTTAATTAATTTTTAATGCTAATATAGATTTGGGCATATCTTAGAATCTTATATTCTAAATGTTACAAAAAATTCATCAGAGATTATGAACCATTTGATTTTACAAGGCTGTATAATATTTGAAGTTTGTATAGAGGGTTTTTTTTCATTAAAATGCATGAAAGTGTAAGTTATATTTGATATGAAATTAACATAACTCTTCTTTTATTTCATCTTTTTAAACTCTTAATAGTTGAGCACTTTCAGCAGGTATTATATCTGAGATATTCAGCAGGTATTATATTTGAAATATTCATTCAAATTTAAGCAGTTTTAGAAAAATGAAGAAATTTAATGCATGCTGGTTCAGTGGAACAAACTGTTTTAAACTAGACATTTAAAATCTATTCCACCTATCTTTCATAGGACACTTCTAAGGCATATTCTTGCTGTAGAAATAGGTAAAGAAGATGCAGAGGAAATACAAGATAAAGTGGAAAGATTTTATTCAGATAGTGACTTAAATTTGTGTGGTGATGTTGAGAATACATCTTCAGTGTCTCAGGCAGATATAGGTGAGTTATCCCAAAATTAAGTTTATATAAACTGAGGTGAAAGCTTTAACTAATGGTTTATGCATATTACAGATTAATTATTTTCCTGTTTACTTAAGAATTGTTCTTAAAGTTTGAAAAGGCTCAAACTATATTTTTTGAAACTCATTTGAGTTTCAAAAAATTTGTAATATGTGAATGAAAGAGTAAAATATTCAGCTTCAGGACATAAAAAATAGCTAGTAGGATTCTAGAAAAATAAAACATGTCAGCCCTGAGTAGGAAATATATCTATTATATTTTCAATATGAAGGGTATATATATTTACAAGTAGTTCAGGTTTTTTAATACAGCATTAAATTGCATTAATCAATACAGCATTAAACAAAATAAGTAGAAAGCAAATACATATAATTAATCTAGTCAAAATGTTTTTACTAGGCCCAATGATTGATTAATCCATAGTTCACGAGTTCATACATTCCAAAGTTTTGGTCTATAGTTCAGAAATCACAGTCACACATTAATAGTTTTGTCAAAACTATCTGAATATTAAACTGGGACCATAGCAGAACAAACCTGTGTCATATGTATGTGACTCCAAATCATTTTATTTTTCCAAGATAAAGAATTTGATAACATGTTCTCTGCAATGTCCAGTAAATATTTAAATAGTTGTTTGTAGAATTAAATCTCATTTAATTAATCTAAAAATACGTTTAACATTCTTTAAGAGCCTCTGGTTTATCACTATGGAATATTCCAACTCCTTATTGCAAATGACTTATAATCATTTTAAAAATATAATTTTCTGTAGGTTTAAAAAATTTTCAAAACATTTCTGGACAATTGATAATTTATAGATTTTAGATGCTGCTAAAATATCTATTTCAATTATCTTTTCAAATTGTGAAGTCAGATTTAAATGTACTAGAATGCTATATTTTTTTAACATTTTTTATTTATTTTGGTGCCTTCAGGTCAATATTGGCTCATGGTGACTGCCTGGACTAGTCCCTGCAGTTTTCTTGACAAGATTTTCAGAAATGGTTTGCCATTGTCTGTTAAGTAGGGTTGAATGGGAGTGATTCACTCAGCTGGATTTGTGCCTAAAACAGAGTTAAAACTCAGTCACCCATTTTTTTAGCTTGGTATTTTAACCACTACACTATATCTTCAATTTATAATCATTTTGTTCAACAGCCATTCAAAGTTAGGATGGCACTGAATAGAGGGACTTAACTATAATCCTGGAAGTTACAATTGTTATATCATCTAGTTATATGATCAAAATATGATCAAAATTTGGGCACTTGGCACTCTCTCTACCTGAATATCTGCACCCATCTATGCACTTTTGGGTTTCTGCCACCCTAGCTGATCTTTGCCATCTTCTTGTCCCTATTGCTGACCAAGCATGCCCAGTTAGGCCCCTAAGACTTTCTTCCCAAGACCACTGAAGTGCAGTTTCCTTGTTAGGCCTGGGGAAGATGACCTCAAATGGCCAGCAGCTGCCTGGTGAAGAGCCAGAGCTGGCACGCCTCATCAGCAGTGGGAGCAAGAAGACAACAAAGATCAGCTGGGGTGGCAGGGTCTCAGAGTGCAGGATGGCAAGGATGACTGGCTGGGATTTTTAGGGGGTAGCTGAGGCTTCCTGGGGCAGCTACAGTTTTTTTTGCCAAGCTACTGAGGTGGTTGAGGTTTCCCAAGATAATTGCAGCTTTGTGCACATTGCTGGCATTGCAGGATGACCGGGATTTTGCAGCATACTGCAGCTCAGGGGCTTCTTATAATCCAGAACTGCGGTGTAGCATGGCAAGCAGCCCCAAGCCACATTGTTCTGGGGCTGCTTACCATTCTGCAAGGCAGGGTGCAGGATAGCCAAACAGGCAAAGATGGAGGAGAATACAGTCCAATTGGAGGGTGTTGAAAGGGAGGCAGTGCCTTGAAGAACTGGGGCTCGGGCTGGGAAGGACCAAATCTGAATGACTTAGTGTGGGGTAGATCCTCAACTATTGACAATTAGATTTCAGATTGCTGGCACTAAATGATGCTGTCACATGACATCACACTTTATGACCATATCGTTAGCAGCAGAAATTCTGGTCCAGGTTACCATCATAACTTGAGGATTATCTGTACACCAAATAGTTTCTACGATGACTTATTCATGCCCTGCCTTGAGTGAATGGATAAAATATTCATGCAATTGACAAGCAACGCCTGGGCATGATGCAGGTGCCTGGGGGCAAGACTTGTAAGAATGTCAGGAAGGTTTATAGAGACAGGTTTAGCAGTGGGGAGGAGAGGCAACAGAAGAGTTGTGGAAGCAGAATATGCATGTGCACCATGGTTTACTAGAGTCTATGGGGAAGCAACATTTTAAGATATTACTAATTTTTAAAACCTTAAAAGCGCCAAAGATAATCAGAAATGCTCAGTCATGGTGAATCTGTTTGGATATTAAGGTCAGGAGGGCAGGCCATTCTGAAAATGCCCCATTATCAGAAACCTGCCTTTCTAGCAAATAAGGAGTGTGTTGCCTCCTGGGCTACTTTCCAGGTTGTGGAACACACTTGTTTGAAAGTTATTTTTGGCCTACAGTTTTGGTAATTGAATATTTTTTTAAAACCATCTCTTTTCCTAGCCTTTGAGATGGTGCCTTTATTTTATTTTTTTTTACTTTTTAGAAGCTGTTTTTATAACATTCTATTAACTGTCTTGCTAATTCAAAAAGATTTGTAAATTAAATAAAAATGTATTTAAACATAAGTAATCCATGTATCATTTGATTGGAAGAATTTCATAATGAATATAGAATTTCATTATGATTTGCATCTAATAAATTTTATTCATTATATTTACTGTTTCCAAGATAGTAGAACCTGCTACTTAATATGGAAAGTGTGATTTATTAAATCTATAAATTTGCTTAACTTTCTATAGAACATAAATTATTTCTCTTTAAATATAGCTTTGCACGTCACTGATGCTTACTTTAAATTCTCAGGTTGCCAGAATTATTCCTGTGAAGATCATCCAGATCATGTAAACTCTGGGAGCAGAATTATTTCAGTTGAAGACAGGCAAATTGACTATTCTGTACCTAAAAATGTTTCTATCCGCCGTCGTTATTTAAAAATTAATTCCCTCAGTGAAGTCTTTGAATCAGATGGCATTCCACATATCAGTGTTGATCTTTCATGTTCAAAGAATAATAATGAAAATTGTGAAGAAATATCTATTAGTCAGGAGGACAAGCATAGTGTAAACATTGATAAAAGTGAATCAGATATACAAATTGAATCTGTTAAAAGTGAATCAGAGATGCAAATTGAAAAGGCCACAGCCTTTTCAGAACAAAATAATTTTAATAATATTGGTGGTTTTAAAACTCAGAAAGGAAAGAGTCAGAAGAGAAAATTGGTAACCACAAAAAATATACCCAAGGCAAGATCCAACAGAGACAAAAACTGCAATAAGCATGTAGGAGCTAAACAAAAAGCAGATATATCCATTCGTTCCAATGATGCTTATGATTTTATTAGTGAAGAGTCTGTTCATATAACACCTTTTCGGCAAATCAAACAAAATGAACATGTTGATGACACAGATTATACAGAAAAAACAGAAATCTGTAGTGGTGAATCATCTGTTTCAGAAGAAGATCCTGACGATAGTCTCTATGTGCCTTACTCAAAAAAATCAAAATCCAACAAAACTTTAAATACTGGAACAGATGTAATCCCACTACACACAAAACCACGATCAAAGAGAACTGCATCTAAGCAACATGATAGAAATCCTGAGGGGGAAAATAGGAATACCGAGATACCTGAATCTCATTTGGGTAAGAAAATTCTTGCTTTCAGTGTTTTTTTGATTGTAAAAGGAAATATACTACTTTAGAACATAGTTTTCAATCTCCTGTACTGGAATCAAAAATAGTAGATAGTTGCAGATTCTGAAAAGTTTGTGCATTATTTTCTAATATTTTTCAAAAGAGGTTTTTTTAAAAAAATAAATATGCAGAAGTGCATTGTTTCCTTGCTCTTGCCCTTGCAACAGGTAGCCAACAAAGCACTGAACTTTTGTTTTAAATGAACAAGCTGTAGTGGTTATAATTTAAGAACTAAATATTGTTTTTATTCAGTAATATAATTTTAAAGGTGAGTTTTCTTCAGATTAGCATTGCCTGAAACAGGAGTGAATAATAATGGTAACAATTAGGAAAAAAGGGTGACAGTTCTTTCTATCAACAGATGAATCATCTGAGGCAGTTCATAAACATCTTAATGATATTACCAATGTTGTATCAACTTCTTGCCAAACAAGAATTTCTCAGCCAGCCTTCAGTACTGCAGCAAAAGATACTATTCACCAAAGACGCAGAAGTACTAGTTATGTGAGCTATAAGGAGCCAAGTCTCAGTGGGTTGGTATCTGTTTCTGAAATCTTTCAAAAGTCAATTATATAGTTTTATCATATTTTTCCTACTGTAAGAACTACATTAATTTCATATTTTTGTTATTATTTGAATTGTTTCAATTTATACATTTTACAAAAAAAAATCTAATTTGTTTTGATAGGAAACTCAGAAGAGGCGACCCTTTTACGGATACCAGCTTTCTGAACTCTCCCATTTTTAAAGAGAGAAAGAACACCAAATCGCTTAATAAAAAGTTGCTGTCCAGATACAATGAAGCATTTGTTGGTTATTAAGATACTTTTTATGAAGTATATTTAGCTCCTCACTTATATTATGCTGAAAGTATATTAACTAAAATTCTGGAGATGGAGCTTTTTACATGTTTTTCTGATCTAAATTTATGAATACTTTGATAATATATAACACACATACACTGCCTTTCAGAATTTATTGATTCAGAATGGTGTGAATAACCTATTATCATTTTAGGAGGAGCTATTTCCTGAACATGATAGGAAAAAAATAATAGTTTGGAATGCAGATTATCATTTATTTGCTAATAAATGCAGTTCATTTTAACCGTCTGTCATTAGAAATAAAGTTAAACTCTGTTGTATCTTCTGAACTATTACTTGCTTATATAAAATAAGTTAGTAATTTTGATAAAGCTAATTTTTTTTAATTATCAATATTAACATATGTTTTCAGCCTCCATTTTCTTGCAATTATTCTAAGTTTGTAAAAATAACCTGAATATGTTGTCCTGTTCTGTAGGTTTATTAGGAATAAATACCAATGAACTCTCTAGGAGTTCTGAGTAAATGTGACTTGGTGATGTATCTCGAATTATATGCTAGTATTTTTATTCAGTTATTTCAAAGCAACTATTAGTTTCCTGATAGCACTTATAGCAAAGAGAAAGCAGAAACCGGTGTGCATTTATTTTGGTCCAAGAATTTTAACTAATAGTTATTCTTGTCTTTTATGTCTTTAGATTGTAAGCTTATGGTATCAGTGGTTTAACAAGGTATTTAAGTAGATATCTTTATGTAGAATGTAAAAGTCATAAATAGATAACACATTTTGATTTTATTTGAAAACTTATATTAATCTGTATGAAAAGTAGAAATTCCATTGGATTTACTACTGTAGGATGAGTTCCAGTTCTTATTACCTGAAGGTGCTCTAACATACTTCTATTCCATTTCATAAAATGAGAGGTACTCTACAAACAATGAGTATGTCTGGTATTTTTATATGCAAATTACAAAATAGCACACAAGATCAATGTTATACATATAATTTAAAACATTTTATACCAGTACAATAAATAATTTTACAAATGTAAAATTTCAGTTAAAGTATTTAAACACATACTGTGTATAACTTTATTGCACAATATCTATGAAAATAATCTTTAAATTAGAAACCAAAATGTTCTCAATATAGAAGAGACTCTAATTTCAAGACAATAAGAATCTTTGAAAATAACACTTTCACAGGATATCAAGCTTTAGAGGTGACTCTGTTGGCCCAGTTTACAAAATACATGAAAATTACTATTTAAATATTCTAAAACAAAGTTGCATCATTGTACCTTAAATACAAAGCTCATTCTGGTTTATATAAAGCGCTAAGGCATTTCTATATTACTATTTTGTCTATTATGTACCATTTCCTTCTAGCAATGTTCTTGTAATCAGAATAAAACATTATAGGCATTGTGCCAAAAAAAATCCTCCTTTTGTAATGTTGTTACTTTCTACAATAGTTTACTAGTGAAATATTTCAGCATAAACAGTGTATACATGTGCGTGTACACACACACACACACAAATATTAAGGGCATCTCACTTTCCCCTCCAGTGTTGTGAAATACATTGTAGAACTGAGTGATTAATGAGTATGGCTTTCCCAATAACTAATGACATCAAATGAAGTTTAATTCTTATGTATAATGTAAGAAAAAGCTCAAATATATATGGAATTAATTAATAAAATTCAAATTCCTAATTAAAAAACTAGTATCAGTCCAAGTGGAAGTTGGGGTAAGTGGGGTAAGAATCTACTCAAAGCTACTTGTATAAAATTGTTTCATCTATGGCATTGGGCTGGGTGGAGTCAAGCTCTGAGTTAACCACTAAAGTCTATCAATCTTGTTAGTCATGCCTTCAGATTTCAGTATGTTTCCCACCACTTTACAGTGCAAGTAACTGGGAAAATTGTGTATATCAGCATTTTATAAAGTCAGAGATATTCTCATCTGCACTAAAATTAGATGTGGTTTCTTATCAATCAGGTACTACTGATCCATTGTGCAGTTAAGTACACATTCTTCAGGGATGTATGTTTTAGGTGTATATATGCATTTATCAACATATACTATACTCAGGACTAAGGTCTAAATGAGAATTCAAATTATTGTCCATTCTACCCACTCATTGCAGCACCTCCTGTACTTTTTGCAAAATAGTTTTCATGCATAAAGATCCGTACAAATCTATAAAAGACAAAGCTATTGCTAGATTGGGTTCAATAGTAGAAATAGTACTGTTCTAAATCTACTAAAAGACTAAGCAACGGTTTGGAGCTTAACACAAACTCTGATATCCTTTTCAGAACTTGACCTAAGTGAAAATGATGCTACATTTTCCTTGAAATGCAAATATTAAGAATCAAGGTCCAATCTGGGACCAGAGATTTAATCTTCCAAGCTGTCAGATTTGTGCTGGAGCCCATCCTTGGAAACCTCTCCTCAGCCCTGAGGATAGTTTCCAGCACAAGTCCGGAAGCTTGGTAGACTAAACCCCTGATCCTGATGACTCACCCAGATTGGATCCTGTAACATTATCTTGGGACAAGTGTATTTGCCTTCATTCTAAGAACCTAAATCATAGAGGAAGTTAAATTTGCACCTAATGAGGGAATTCCATTCTTATAGCTTAAGCACCTTCTCTTAGTGAATGTTTTATTTTCATATATATATATGTGTGTGTGTATATATGTGTATATATGTATATATATATGAGATGTGTTTTCATAGATTTTCACGGGTATAGGTATGCAGGTCTTGGCGTATTTGGGTCTTTTCCTGTGTAAAATTGAGAGTATCTTGGCAACGTTTCGACGAGGCCCCACTTGTCATCTTCAGGCTGGGGTGTTTGGCTTCGTGCTTGTGTGAGCAAAGTGTGATCAGAGCTGCCATCTCTCTATAAATATTGGTGGGGGTGTGTAGAGTGCTGGCTTAGTTGCTGTAATTGCTTTTGGACTAATGGGACACAGCCAGCACCTCAGCTACTCAGGATGTTACGAACAGCCGAACAATCCACAAACAATAACTCCAACACAGCCAACCAACCCTCCTACAGCAACTAAGCCAGCACTGTACACACACCAATATTTATAGAGAGACGGCAGTTCCGATCACACTTTGCTCGCACAAGCACGAAGCCGAAGACCCCAGCCTGAAGATGACGAGTGGGACCTCGTCGAAACGTCGCCAAGATACTCTCAATCTTTATGCCAAGACCTGCATGCATATGCATATGCGTGTGTGTGTGTATACCCTTCCAATTTTACGCGGGAGAAAACCCGAACAACCAAAGACCTACATACAAATACCCGCGAAAACCTCAGTATATATATATATATACACACACACACACACACACACACACACACATATATATATATATATGAAAATAAAATATATTCATTATATATGTATTAGTATTATATATAATTCAGAATATATAATTCATTTCCCCCTTCATTAACATATTTGCTGTAAAAATAAGCTATTTTTCAATCTGATACATTAAGCATAAACATTCACTGCTTGGAAATTTACCCTTTCCAAATCTCCAAACAGTTTGTGCAATACATCTAATAAAAATTGAATACACCGCAAAAGGGCATGCAAGTGTACATTTAAAAATACTTTAATAAAATAAACTCTTCTATATTACATGTTTAAAAGTGCTAGTTAAGAAAATTTTATAAACAAGTTTCGAATCTAGTGAAAGAACTGCATATTTTGCTGTTACATTAGGCATCTTAATTGTAAGAGAAGAAAATTATTTGTCAATTAATCCAGCTTCTTTAATTTTCGTGTAGAAGAATTTCTCCAGTATATTGGCACATTTGTAATATTCACTTTCAGGTGGGTTATACTCTCTGCAGTTAGTGAATACTCGCTGCATATCTGCCATGAATAATTTCTTACATACATAGTATCTGTTCTTCAGTCGTTCACTCATAGTTTTCAGATCTGTAGAAGAACAAACATCTTATTACTAGAATACCATCTTATTCTGAACTTCAGTTATCTTAGTGCTACATAAAATCATGGTTATATACATAATCACACACTAACTTTTTTGCAGCTGAATCATAATTTTTTATACATTATAAAATCTGCCATCCAGTTACCGAAAATGAATGTGGTCAGATATTCTGTTGTTTTTAGGATTGGTGAGTCAAAATAATCTCACTGTAGAGGAGAATGCTGCCTTTTAAAGTACATAATGTTTGGGATGTTTGGGCTTTCTGTAAGCAGAAAGGTCTGCTTATAAATAACCTATTTCTGAATGAATAGATGAGTGCAATAATCTATTTCTGAATGAACAGATGAGTGTTGATGATGACAGGTGAACCCAAACAGAAAAATCCTTTGCATGAGCTCCTACATAGGATGCTTCAAGATCATTTTCTGACATACAGTGCATTCAGAAAGTATTCATACTCCCTTCACTTTTGTCAATTTTATTATGCTACAGCCTGATTCTACAGTTGTTGAAATTCATTTTTTTCTCATTAATCTACACTCTACTCCATAATGACAGTGAAAACAGAATTTTAGAAATGTCTGCAAATTTATTAAAAAAAACCCTGAAATATCACATTGGCATAAGTATTCAGACCCTTTGCAACACGTGAAATTTAACTCCAATGTCCCTCATTTCTCTTGATTGTTGCTGACGTATTTCTACATCTTGCTTGTAGTCCAATTACATTGATTGGACATGATTTGGAAAGGCACACATCTCTCAACAGCTAACAATATAAAAGCCAGGAGATCAAAGGAACTGCCTGTAAAGCTCAGACAGAATTATTGCAAGGCACAGATTTGTGGAAAGCTACCAATAAAATTTCTGCTGCACTGAAGGTTCCTAAGAACACAATGGCCTCCATAATTCTCAAATGGAAGACATTTGGCACAACCAAGACTCTTGCCCGGTCAAACAGCAATCAGGGGAGAAGGGCCGATGGTCACTCTGAACTCCAGAGATTCTGTAGATGGGAACAGCCTATCACAGCAGCCCTCCACTGATCAAGGTTTTATGACAGAATGGCTAGATGGAAGCTTCTCCTCAGTGCAAATACATGAAAGCCTGCTTGGAAATTGCAAAAAAGCACCTAAAGGACTCTCAGACTAAGGAACAAGATTCTCTGGTCTGATAAAGCCAAGTCTGAACTCTTTGGTCTCAATTCTAAACATTATTTCTGAAGGAAACCAGGCACCACTCATCACCTGCCCAATATTCCAGCAGTGAAGCATGGTGGTAGCAGCATCATGCTGTGAGAGTATTATTCAGCAGTAGGGACTGGAAGACTGGTCAGGGTTGATGGAAAGCTGAACGGAGCAAAGTACAGGGATATCCTCAATCATGTTCTACAGTACTCAGGACCTCAGACTGGGCTGAAAGTTCACAGCCCAGAACCTAAGCACACAGCCAAGACAATACAGGAGTGGCTTAGGGACATCTCTATGAATGTCATAGAATGTCCCAGCTAGAGCCCTTACTTGAACCCTACTGAACATCTCTGGAGGGATCTGAAAATGGTTGTCCGTTGACAGTCGCCATGCAGCCTGACTTGAGCTTGAGAGGATTTGCAAGGAAGAATGGTAAAAAATTCCCCAATCCAGCTGTGCAAAGTTTGTCACATCATATCCCAAAAGACTAGAGGCTGTAATTGCTGCCAAAGGTACTTCAACAAAGTACTGAATGAAGGGTCTAAATACTTATACCAATGTGATATTTCAGTTTTTTTTCTTTTAAATAAATTTACAGACATTTCTATAATTCTGTTTTCAGTTGTCACTATGGGGTACTGAGTGTAGATTAATGAACTTCAACAACTGTAGAATCAGTCTACAGCATAGCACAATTGACAAAAGTGAAGGGATGTCTGAATACTTTCTGAATGTAATGTATCTGCTTTTTCTAATGCAGATATCATTAAATTATGACATTACACTGAAAAAAAGTTTCCGATGGTTGTATAAAGTTGATGGAACAGCACACTTTTACAATTCCTTATTTTAAAATTTATTTTCATTTTCCATAAATGCCTTTTTAAAATACTAATAACATTACCCATAGGAAACCTTATAACTTCATAATATCCAGGAGCCTCTGTTCTCTTCACTGGTTCCATGAAAGGCCAAGCACTTTGGTGGCTCTAGGAAAAAAAGTATTACTGATCAATATTTTATATCAGAAAACATTTCATGAGATTTACAAAAACAAAACATAAACCATACCTTGACCTGTTGTAGAATGTTTTTTAGTGTGCTGTAAAGTTGATCCAGATCTTTGGGTTCTTTACTTAAAACAAAATGCAGACAAGATTAAAATGTATGGTCTGTACAGTTATTTTAAATAGCCGACAACCCAGCAATTATAAACTATTAATGACTAAACTGTCCATTTTCTGCTGTTAGAAATACAGA